GTTAATTGGCTAAAGACACCCCAATGACGCTGCCGGAGGTGGAGTTACACCTCTGGAAGCAGAAGGTTTTAACTCTGTATGTGCAACGTTTCAAAGCAAAAACGCAGCACATACAGACTCCAGGCACCATGACCACTTAAAATCACTTTAAAACCCCACCAAGTACGTGAAATTAGAGATACTAATTTGTATTGCTTGCTTTTGCCAAAGCCATGTTGTAAATAAATGCTGTTTGAAAGGAGTGTTTTTGTCCTGAGAATCTGCAAGAGTTTCATCTGTAATTTTAAATCATTGCTTCTTCTAGGACTATTTATTCAGAGCCGCCAACAGAATGGACCCGGCAAGGGTTTATTTATTTATTTTATACTCCATATTTAAGTCATAATAGCAGAATGTACTAAATGGTGCAGTAAGTATTAAAGCCACTGTTGACAGCCTTCATACATCGTAGGGCAGATTCCGCTCGGTGGATCAGTAAATGCAGCTCTATGGCAATTTCTCCCGTGTCCAATAGACGGAAAATTTTATAATGTGCGGGCAAACCCAAATGTACAGAAGACCAAGTTGGTTTCCACATCCTAAAACGGACCCAACTACAAATATCCAAGATGAACACAGAAAAGGGACCTTTAAATACACGCTTACTGGTTATTGGGTTATTGATTAAAAAATATTGTCATACACTGAAAGAAAAATGCAAACGTTTATCGATAAATATTACATAATTTGGAAAGTTTATCAAACAATATTTAGCAGTTTAAAAACATTGTTTAATTAATCAGCCAAAAGATTTATGATTAAACATCACGTAGAAAGTTACTGCGTGTTTAATGACTCATATTTGTTGAGGATTATTTTTATTTATTTTTTTCTTTCTTTTCATTCGTTGTGTATATAAATTTTTTTTTTGTTCTTTCTATGGACACACCTTTCAGAATGGATTTGTCGTGACGGCTTCTGTTTACCTTATCAACAGCAAATTCTCTAGAAATATTGATGGCTGAACCTATCACAAGCTAATTGTGCCTTGATGTTCAATGAGACATGGTCAATGATATAGATCCATAAAATGACAAAACAATTCACCTATGACGAAGACAAAAAATAAAGAAATCTAACACCACCCTCCAGTTTACATTGATGACATTTTGTTCCAAGGTAAAGAATGGGGTGTGGTTGTCCTAAACGTTTATTCAATGTGTTTAACTGTTCACAAAATATTTTATAAGGAACACATAGCTCCTGGGGTGATAATTGTTGAATAACACTGCATGCAGAGCATTCACTAAAACGTGGGTAGGCAACACATTTTGTGGACTACATTTCCCATAATGCTCTGACCTCCATAATGCTTGTGAAAGACCAGGGGATTTGTAGTCCACGACATCTGGAGTGCCAACAGTTGCCTACGCATGCACTAAAATAACCCTTGATAAAATAAGCTACTGAACTCTTCAGAGATAAGCCTGTAGTCTAAACCAGTGTTCCCCAACCCACTCCTCATGGACCACCAACAATCCAGGTTGTGTCAGTATATGCATTGGAATAAATCCGGGAAATACGTAAATCCTGGACTGTTGGTGGTCCATGAGGACTGGGTTGGGGAACACTGGTCTAAACTATGTTGAGGTCTTTTGGTGGTCTGCTGAATTCAGGAGGAGGGGGAGTGGGGGGAACAGAAAATATTGAATGGGATAGGGAGGTAGAAGGGCTATTAAGTGGGGGCAGCAATCTGCAAGGGGAAGGATTTTACGTTTGTCAGCAGAGTGTTTGTAACAACAGATTTTTTTTTTTTATGCACAGAATTGACATTCGGCAGTTGGGAACACAGTTCTAAAATGCCAATGTCACGTGTGTCCTGATGGTGCAATTAGCTCCAAGCACGCAATGAATAATAACTCTGGATGTGCAGTGTGTCAAGCAGAAACCGCAAATCCAGACTCCTGCCACCATGACCACTTCAAATCACTGAAACGGCCATGGTAAGTGTTAGGTTTACAGTTTAAGGGTTACTCCAAAATTTTTCTTTGGATAATTCTGGCAGCTCACTTCAGCTTGGCAAATAATTATTTATGCAAGTCACAAAATGGTTGTATGAAATAAAAGGTAAAATACAAATGTTCTAAAAATAAAAATTAGACTCTCCTTAAAGAATTACATGAACGCGCTCTAACAGATTAGCGAGGGCTGATTGATCCTTGTTTTTTTTTTTTGTCATTATTGGTGTAAACATTGGCAGACAAGATGAAGCAGAGAGACATACGTAAGCATCACATAGATTTATTGAAATGTTACAATAGTATCCGTTTTCCCATTAAATATTTATTTGTGTTTCAAATAACAATAATGCAGGCGAATGTGTTTAAACACATATATTATATATGAGACACACATTACATAAACAAGAGAAGACATATCAATGGCAATCGATGGTCAAGGTCATAGTACGCAAGCATGAAACTGGAGTAAATCACTGGCACAAAGGGAATTACCTTATTGATGAAGATCCTGAATATTAAAAAAAAAAAAAATATATATATATATATATATATATATATATATATATATATATATATATATATATATATATATATATATATATATATATATTTTATTTTTTTATTTTTTTTAACTAGAAAAAACAACTAGAAAATTAGGACACCCCAGGTTGGATTTGACCCATTTTGAATGCATTACACACAAAAAATACATTAGAAATCTCCAAAAGCAATGAAAAAGAGAGAGGGAAAAAAAGTCAGGGCTCTCCAGGCACCATAACCACTACATTGCACTTTAGCGATAATAGAACAAAAATAAATAGATTTTTTAAAAAGCATATTACATAAAAATATGGGTAGGTGCCTGGAGTGCCCGTTTAAGAAGTGGATATAAGGGGGCGGAGCCTGACCACCAATCGGATCAGACATGCTTTGTCTGGGTTCCCGCATCTGAGCCAGGAAACCAGAGATAACTTTGTGCCTCAAGCTAATACTGACCCAAATCGGCGATCCTGCTACTCATAAGCCGACGGTGAACTCGGGGATACCTTACTCTACCACCTACAGCGCTGTAGCAACCTGATCAAGGCCTGAGGCCTACCTGAGCTGGGTTGAGATGGCCGCTCTCCCAGTTCTCCGACTGGTGTCTTGCTGTCCCCCCCCCCCCCTCTGGACCGGTGGGGATTATCCCCGGTCCCCACGGACGACAATCACTGCTTACAGTTGCGCCCAAATACCAGTCCTGCTGCAACTGCGTTTCGGGCCTTACACCCCAAGATGGCTGACAATCCAAAGCCACGTGCAAAGCACTATGTCGAGACTAATCAGTGCACGTGTGAGCTCGTATCCCAACACGCAGTCGAGACATACATCAGCATCTGGGACAAAATACCTAACCACCTCGAAAAGCCTGAAGCTCCGGCAGTGAAGAATAAGCAGAGAGATGAGGGGCAGGAGAGGAGCGGGCCGCCCTGGGGCTCTCTTTCCACGGCACTGCTACAGCCTCACACGATGGGCCTACTAGGGCTGAAGACCACAAGGGATAAATTCCCAGAGCATCGGCCACCGACGCAGAGGATCCAACGCCACAGGTGGCGAATACCCATCTGGATCCAACGCTGTCCCCTACAAGGGAAGAACCCGGCCTCCCACAGGAGCAACCAGATTCGTGGCCCAGAGATGCAGGCCTTCGCTACGGTCCAGGTGTATGGAGAGGTCTGGCTCGCAAGGTGGACTGCCCCCCTGATTTTGGCATGCCAGCCTTCATCTACAATTCTACCCCATGGGTCGCGCGATCAGTGACTTGATTTGTATGTATGCCTACATGTTATTGCATAACCGCCCGGCTGAAAGCGGGTGTACTGGCACTTAGACAACTTATGATCTCACAATTAGCTGATAAGGTACTGCATAGAGCGGACACCCGCACAAGACACATACCTGGCACTGACACCCACCAGATCTGATGCATATAACCACACTTGACACACCTACTAACACTCCCGTCTTGGGGCGGCTAGGCCCGACTTACACCATCCGCACAGCACAATGAGACGGGGAACCCGTGGTCTCCTTAGCTTGGAAATCTAACATGACTCTGCTATTATAAAGCACCCACACATATTCTGCCTGCAACACTCAGATATCTCGCTCATACGAGTTACAGCAGTATAGACATGTATACCTGGCCTGACTTATCATGAATTTACAATAATTTATTCTGACATATCAAGCTTGATAAAACGAACACCTAAATACAATTTAGAAACTTCTGTTAAACGTTAATTCACATGTCTGAAGTTTCTCTGTTAAAACGATGTTATTATTAACATGATCCTATTGTAAAATTGGGCATCCCATCTCAAGTAACCCACATGTACTGCATTTTGCCACGCTTGGGGTACCTCAGGCCTGTATGTTACAATCATGTGCACTGCAAAAATACATTAAAAAAATTAAAAAAATTAAAAGAAGTGGATATAAATTATGCTGTTACTCTATTTTACCCTAAAACATGTGATTCTATTATCACTGATCCATAATGCCAAATTTAGTAATTAACCTTAAAGGAACATGTTTTAAACATGTATTCCTGACCCTATAGTGTTAAAAATATGCAGCACTGCCCCAGGAAACAAATCTAACAGCTATATGAGGAGTGGCCAGTGGAGGTATCCCTAGGCTGTAATGTAAAAAAAAAAAAAAAATTTAAAACAGTGTTTACTGCAAAAAACCTGAAGGCAATGATTATACTCACCAGAACAAATACAATAAGCTGTAGTTGTTCTGGTGACAATAGTGTCCCTTTAATGATGTCACAAAGGAGTTAAAATACATAATGAGATTGTGTGCTATACCAGTCATGATATATTTGTGCTTACAACCCCCTTGTCCTGAATGGGGTTATCAGTAATATCATCCTTCCTATGGCACATTCCAATCCACCCTCTGTACTACAATATTTATAACACTGAGCATTGGTATGTGGCGGCGTTCCAACTGTGCGCAATGGTAACATGTACAATGTATCAGGGAGCCTGCTTGTATCATATGTCAAATGATTTCAGGTAAAGAAAGAATTACTGGACAGGCCACCTTTCACACTAATCCTAAAATCCCCAATTATAAAGAATTTTAAGCTCTGTCCACTATACAGTATCAGCAGAAGATCTAAGGTACCTGCCCCACCACTAGAACACATCCCCCTGTGCAGAATCCCTTATTTTGACACACTGACTCTCTGAAACCTCAAATTAAATAATCCCTTAATACTTTAAAAGGAATGAGCAATGCATTGACATGGGCTGTGGCACAGACAGGGCCATTGAGAGGTGTACGACCAGATCACGTTCTGACGCTCGTAAAGTGGACATTAAAAGCGATTCCTTCAAACTTGTGTGAGACGATATTTTAACAGGTCATTTCATGTGCACTCGTCAAAATAGTCATTGTACTGTCACAATGTAATTTTAAAAAAAATAAAAATGATATTTTATACACACATTATAAACACACACTATTTGCAAAATATGTGGGGGGGGGGGTTAATTAGATTTTTAAATGCATTTTCTGACTATGTAAATTGTTGAGCCGTTTTAAAATAACTATTAATTTTAACTAGTGTGCTTGAACACAGTATATTCATTAAATAAAAATTATTTTTAATTAAAAGCAGACTTACAGTCCAAACTATTTGAAATGGAAAAAATTAAATAATAATAATACTAATAATACTATTCAGTAGGTGAAGGTGGCAGGGGGACCAATATTTTGATATATTGAAAAGAAGACACCCCGCCACTCCTGTCCCTACTGAAGTGACACAGGTGCTCAGGGCCCTAATATGATGTGTAAATTATAATGTCATATCTGTTACCATCACTTTATACTGGCAAGCGGGGGGGGGAGGAATATTTTGAGTAAGGAATACCTGGAGCTCATAGGGTCAAACAGGGAATTGTTGGGAATTCAAAACAAATTCACAATTTTAGACCTAAACAGTCCAAATGGCAACATTTCTCCAAGTGAGCAATGTTTTTAGTTTGACTAGTTTGGTCTTAAATTTGAAAGCATTATTTCCTACACTAGACCACCTTTAAATACTTCAGTTTCTTTGTAATACGTCCCAGGGGCAACATGATGGGCATTTTACCACAAGGGCATTTTAAACCATGCCAGGCACACATGCACATATCCCAATATATAGCCAAATGCGTCCCCGAGAGAGACACCTGTAGGAATGGACTCCTACTATCAGCTGGAGAAACCGTACAGGATATAACAGGTCTTACATTAACCTTACATTGAAAGATCCTTACCTTGCTCAAGGTGACTGGGGTATTGTCTGAGAGTCTGCAAGTTCCTTCCATACACAGCACAAATCCTACAGGACACAAAAAAGAAAGAGAAATGTTGATTTTCTGTGATTCCGACCCCCTCCCTACACCTGTTTTGAATAATTTTGTCAGGAAAACAATGGGACCCATTTAATGCAAATTCTTTGCAAACTACAGCTTGCTTTCAGCCACATTTTTTTTTTTCATTCTTTCTTACCCATGAATTCGTAGGGCAAGGCATCATGGGAAATGTAGTTTACAGGCATCTCATCAGCTACCCAGAAGTATAAGTGCACTTCATGCAATTGACAAAAGTCACTACAAATTAAAGCGGACTGATGTAAAAATGTTCAAATAACCACCAATATATGGTGACTTATAGCCTTTTACGAACGTTTAGGGAAAAAAGGATTTTAATTTTCCAAGTCAGTCTCAAGTCACTACAGCACCGTTTGGGAATAACATCCACATCTCACAAAAAGAAATGCTTGCTAGGATTGTTTGAATTGGTTACCTTATACAGATGATTTTACAAAATATATTTATTTAATTTAAACTTAAGAACAGAGAGACACGGTATCGTAAACAAACATCACATAAAACAGAAATATGGACCAAAGGTAACCGCTTTAAATTATAACGAACAAACATCACAAAAAGGTAGGTCAACACTCATTTTCCACCATATTAATAAAATATGGCATGTTCATTAAATAGCAGAGTACTTTGCATGAGATGATGTAATCAGACCAAACCTGCATGATACTGAGAATTAAATCCATTCCGGCGTTTAAATGTCAGACGCTGTGCCGTAGATCCAAAATAACAACAACAACAGATGTAGGCTCAAAGTCCGGACTCAATATAATCTGCTGGCAGGCAGATCAAAGTATGGACTACAATTTTGTGTACACATGCTTTCACCGTCACCGTTAAGCCTGCACACAAAAGGTGTTACCTGTTAACGGTTTGAAACTCTTCGTACTCAAGAGCCAACGTTTATCAGCAAGTGATCCAAGTATAGAAAACTATGCCGCGTAATAAGTGGATTACATGTCACTCCACACCATGCTATATGCTCCTCACCTGTTCAGCTATAAGCACATCCAACGGCATCCATCCTACTGCAAGGAGGGAAGGGACCTGAAGCTGCTGAATTTTAGGGAAAAATTACTATTGCCTCCTTGTACCCACCGAAGCACCTCGACAAAACTCCACACATGTTCCCGAGACACGAGTGTCCCCTCTTCCTGATGGACTACACAGTCACAGCACAAGCCCCCACACAGGCTACACAAAGTTTGTCACTAAATCCCTATGCAATGCTGTCGTACAGGTTCTGCGATGTGTCACAGCGTGAATCAGTTTGTATTACACAGTGACATAGTGTTGAGAGACTCTGCTTATGTCACTACAGTCAACAAAGATTCAAAACACAGAACTCCATAGCCAAAAGGTCTCAACCATAACGTCCGAATGCATCACATATTATGTTAATGGTTTTTTTTACAACTATTTCTCGTTTATGCTCTTGTTATAAATGTAGTTTAACTTTAAAAAAAAAAAAGGAAAGTTTAAAAAGCAGTAGAAAAACAAAATGTGGTAACATTTTCATTCATGCATCATATTGCCTTTAACAGCCTAAGAGTGAAGGTGAATCGGGTTAGCATATTAGGTTTCTAACTAAAAACTTTATATCTCAGCTTGGGAATGTAACAAACAAGTCAGAGTAACATTTTATACAGACTTTAAAGGGACACTATAGGCACCCAGATCACTTCAGCTCACTGAAGTGGTCTGGGTGCAAACTCCCATCGCCCTTAACCCTGCAGTGGTAAATAAATTACCTCTAAGGGTTAACTCCGCCTCCAGTGGCTGTCTACCAGACAGCCACTAGAGGGACTACCGGAATTGAAACAGACTTTTGGTCCGTTATCTGACGCTGGACGTCCTCACGCAATGCATGAGGACCTCCAGCATCATATTTTCCCCATAGAAAAGCATTGAATAATTTAAAGGGACATTATAGTCACCCAGACCACTTCAGCTCAATGAAGTGGTCTGGGTGCCAGGTCCCTCAGGTTTTAACCCTGCAGATGCAAACATAGCAGTTTCAGAGACACTGCTATGTTTACATTGCAGTGTTAAGCCAGCCTCTGGACAGCCACTAGAGGCGCATCTGCAACGCTGGAGGCAGATTATGCCTCCATCACGCAGAGTGTCATTAGGAAAGCATTGAAAAATGCTTTCCTATTGACAGCTTGAATGCATTCGGCTCCGCTGACGTCGGCGGAGGAAGAGAGGTCACCAGAGCCGAGGAAGTCCGGCGCTGGAATAAGGTAAGCCACTTCATCGCCACAGGAGGGGGACCCTGAGGGTAGGGGCACCCTCAGGGCACTATACTGTCAGGAAAACTAAGCGGTAGTATAGTGATCCTTTAATGTGAATTTTACATTTTGGGTGAAAGTAGCAAGTCAGCTTTTCTTCCAGTTTGGCTTTTTTTTTTTTTTTTTTAAACCTTAAACTTACAATTCACTTTGAATTCTTACTTTATTGAATGGCCCTGTAAATAATTCCACTATTCACCACACAGGTCAGCTCTTTTCATGTACTGACCAACAATCAGATCTAAATAATAAATAATGGGTTTCCGGTTACTGACTGTGGACACATCACAAATGAGTTAAAGAAACAATGTATTCCTGAAACAATTGTTTTACACTATTTAGGGTCCCCAGCTCCACTTCGATCACCGTATAAAGGCATCTTGGATTACCTTTTTCCCCACAGCGGTCTCGCCGTGGCTGACCCCACCTGAATCCACCTCCATGGCTGACATAATCAATCTATTATGTTCTCAGACAATCCCATGCTTTCTCATAGGAAAATATTGGGAGGCTGCAAAATTCTTCGCTGCACCAATCAGCACCTCCACAGAGATGCATTGAATAAATGCATATCTATGGAGAGTATGGAGTCGCTGAGGGTCATCTTCCACTAGAGGTTTTACTAGGCAGCAATGAAAACATTGTCTTTTCTCTCAAAAGGCAGTGTTTACAATGCTCAGCCTGCAGGGATAGGCTATAGACACCAGAATCACTACATTAAAGGGACACTATAGTCACCAGAACAACTACAGCTTATTGAATTTGTTCTGGTGAGTAGAATCATTACCTTCAGGCTTTTTGCTGTAAACACTGTCTTTTCAGAGAAAATGCAGTGTTTACATTACAGCCTAGCGATAACTTCATTGACTGCCTAAAATGCATCCAAACATTCAGTGTCTCCTCCCTCTGCATGCAGACACTGAACTTTCCTTATAGAGATTCATTGATCCAATTCATCTCTATGAGGAGATGCTGATTGGCCAGGGCTGTGTTTGAATCATGCTGGCTCTGCTCCTGATCTGCCTCTTTGCCAGTCTCAGCCAATTCTATGGGGAAGCACTGTGATTGGACCAGGCCACCAGTTCTGATGATGTCAGCAGACTGCTTGTTTTTTTTATTTTTTAGGCAAACAGCATGCAGATTTACAGCTTCAGGCTTGAATACAGTAAGATTTTTACTATATTTACGGAGGCATGAGAGGCCCAGGGGGGATAGATGGTGGTGTTAACGCTATAGGGTCAGGAATACAAGTTTGTGTTCCTGACCCTATAGTGATCCTTTAAGCTGCAGTGGTGACTATAGTGTTCAGACTTGAAGTGGTGTATTGGCGAAGAATCATGTATTTAGATTTCAGATGAAGCAATGTAAGAGTTCTGTCTTTCTAGGCCCAAACAAACAAACATCTGATTTTTATTTATGTTTGAGAGAGTGTGTGCATTCCGGGAAATCAAGCAATTACACTGCACATGCATGTAATCCATCAGGACAAAGCATCAGTAACTGCAGGAAGAAGGAGAGGGGAAGAGAGAGGGAGAGGGGAAGAGAGAGGGAGAGGGGAAGAGAGAGGGAGAGAGGGAGAGGGGAAGAGAGAGGGAAAGGGGAAGAGAGAGGGAAAGGGGAAGAGAGAGACAGAGAGAAGAGAGACTCTCTCTCCCTGGAGCTGGATCTGTTACCAGTCTGAGTCCAAAGACAGCATGTCTGAACAAGTTTTATGCATGCATAAATTACATTCCCAACCTATGGATAGGGGGGGGAGGGGGCAGGTAAATTCATCTCAGTCCCAGGGGGATGATTTTTTTTAAAAATAAATTTATGATATTTCTACTTATGGTGTGTTTTGCCCCCACTTAATTTTGCAATATCACTGGCATTGCATTGTGGGAGATTTCCAACAAGCGGATAGTTACGGGTTGGTCATCATTGTATCACGGAACAAATACTGTATACATGTCAGGGTGCCTAAAAGCAATTCTTAGTCTGATAACATGGTATTTTGTTGTCAAAGTATAAACACTGACCTCTGACTCAAAACAAGCCTAGAACTGTCCAGATTCGCCCTAAAGTTGCCAGGTTTGTCAGACTGCAACGTTCCAGGCAGTGCACAGATCTGCCAGCAGGGGAGGTACTCTTTGCAACCTTAGCCCATTTTACGGTTTAGTACGACCTATTCTCACACAGTTCAACCTTTAAACCAAGGGAAGTGAGTGGGCAGATGGCTGGATCCCAAATAAAAGCATACAACACACAGTGAACAATCACACAAACCTATTTCATAAAATGAAAGCTTAAAGGGACACTATAGTCACCAGAACAACTACAGCTTATTGAATTTGTTCTGGTGAGTAGAATCATTCAGGCTTTTTGCTGTAAACACTGTATTTTCAGTGAAAATGCAATGTTTACATTACAGCCTAGAGATCACTCCACTGGCCAATTCTCAGATGGCTGCTAAAGGTGCTTCCTGGGGCAGTGCTGCACAGTGTGACTGCAATTCAGTGTCTCTACCCTCTCCACATGGAGACACTGAACTTTCCTCATAGAAATGCATTGATCCAATGCATCTCTATAAGGAGATGCTGATTGGCCAGGGGGGTGCTTGGCTCCGCCACCGGTCCGCCTCCTTCGATTCCTTAGGGATCGACCGATTATCAGTTTTACCGATATTATCGGCAGATATTCGGTATTTTCGGCAATATCGGTATCGGCCAATAGAGATACCGATATTACATACCAGGACCCCCGGGCCCATTACAAGCCCGGCGGTCCTTGGGGGGCCGGCAGCAAGCTGGTACTTACCTTCCCAGCAGCTCCCTTCAGCTCCCATGTCAAATCTCACGAGTCCCGCGGCCGCAGAGCGTTGCCACAGGTTACCATGGCAAAGCTCCACGCAGCACACAGGTCGCGAGATTTAGACAGGGAGCTGCTGGCAAGGTAAGTAACAGCTTGCTACCGCCCCCCCCACCCCCCACTGCACAGCCAATGCCACTGGACCACCAGGGAATGCCATAGCCAGCCCCCCACCCCCCCTCCAGCCAGGTAACAAGCAGGGAGGGGTGACCAAAAAAACACCAAAACACACATATACCCCTGTTTCCCGAAAATACACCCTACCCCGAAAATAAGCCCTAGCCGGATTATCGGGGTGGGCTGCAATATAAGCCCTACCCCGAAAATAAGACCTAGGCATTGCACCTTTGCGGCCCCGCGCGACTTCCTTCTTCTACCGTATGAGGAGGGGGAGGAGCGTTGCGGGCCACGGCATCACGCAACGTGATGACGACCTTTCGCAGCGCCGTCAGTCTGCCATCACGGATCTTCAGCGGAAGGATACATTTCCGGGCGGTGAGGCACCCAGTGGTCGGACTCGGCGGACAAGGAATCTTTGAAATGTGAGTAGATATTTTATGTCTGGGACTGAATTAATTAAAGGGGGGGGGGGTGAATTAATTAAAGGGTGAGCTGGATTAATTAAAGGGGGGTGGAGAAAAATTGTTTAAATGTTATTTAAATGTTGTTCAATGTACATACCGGTACCGTAAATAAATAAGCCCTACCCTGAAAATAAGCCCTAGTGTGTTTTTTGTGACTAAAATTAATATAAGACCCGGTCTTATTTTCGGAGAAACACGGTAACTATTAAAAATAAAATAAAAATAAAAAATTCCCCCCCATTTTACACAACTTCCATCCCTTCAGAAACACACACACTACACAAACACACACACTAAGCATACACACACTAAACATACACACTACACACACACTGCATTCACTTTACACACACTACACAAACACTCTGCATTCACTATATATCCACACTACACAAACACACCCTGCATTCACTATACACACTGCACAAACACACCCTGCATTCACTATACACACTGCACAAACACACCCTGCATTCACTATACACACTGCACAAACACACCCTGCATTCACTATACACACTGCACAAACACACTGCACCCACTACACACACACAGCTCCCCTGTCTAAACACACTGCACCCACTACATGTGGCATGTATATTTTGTGCATTTACCTTTAGAAATAGTTTGTATTTTTTTTTTAAATGGTAAATATACAGAATATCGGCAAGTTATCGGCTATCGGCCTGAAAGTTCACAGATTATCGGTATCGGCTCTAAAAAAACAATATCTGTCGATCCCTATTTATTACCATCTAATTTCTAGTCTTACTTGTTATTTTGGCCTCAGATCTGCAGGCCGGTTGTCAACATAACAGAAAAATGGAAGACCGCAATATTGTAAATTATATCTTTTATTTATTGGCATTATAAAGCACTCAACAGAGCCTCAGATTTGCAGCATAGGTCCGCATGTTTGTGCTGTGATCCCAGTAGATATTTTAAGAGAGTGATTTCAATCCCATGACGGACCTTTGCTGTTCTTTGAACACTGGGCTGCAACAAAGTTTATACAACTCGATACAGAATAAATGAGATTACGCTCAGCGAAATGTGATCTAGAGCAGTTCTCTGCTTTTGAAAACAGCGAGGATTGTAACAAGCATGTAAAAATCCAGAGCAGTACATTTTAGGTCTTACAGGGACACCAATGCCAGAAATTCAAATCCACCCGTCACAAAAATAAAGAAATGACAGTGACTTTAAACAGACAAAACATGCATACAACAACACTGTCCATTTCAGACAGATTAAAACTGAATTAATCAGATTTAAACTGAATTAATCAGATTAAAATTGAGAAATCAGTAGCAAATAGATTGAAAAGAATATATATTTACCGGAAGAACACTAGTCTCCTTCTAAATAGCAACCTCAATGACTGAAAGCATGCACACATAAATCTGCCAACTACAGGTATAAATATTGATCCATGATGCTTATATTGTAAACTCACGGGCTATATAACTAGGCACTTTGTATAAAAGGGCTTCAGCTCACGGTTATGTTTGTGTGTATTGTACGGTTTATGTCCCCAAATTGTACAGCGCTGCAGCAAGTCGGCACTATAAATGTCAGTTAAAAAGATTATATATATAGGCTCTATAGGCACCTAGACAACTTAAAGGGACACTATAGTCACCCAGACCACTTCAGCTCAATGAAGTGGTCTGGGTGCCAGGTCCCTCAGGTTTTAACCCTGCAGATGCAAACATAGCAGTTTCAGAGAAACTGCTATGTTTACATTGCAGGGTTAAGCCAGCCTCTGGACAGCCACTAGAGGCGTGTTTGCGACGCTGTTGGCATATTATGCCTCCATCACGTAGAGCGTCCATAGGAATGCATTGAAAAATGCTTTCCTTTTGATAGCTTGAATGCGCGCGTGGCACTTGCCATGCATGCGCATTCGGCTCCGCTGACGTCAGCAGAGGGAGCGGACGTCGGCAGGGGGTAGAGGTCACCAGCGCCGAGGGAGCCTGGCGCTGGATTAAGGTAAGCTGCTGAAGAGGTTCTAACCCCTTCAGCGCCACGGGAGAGGGACCCGGAGGGTGGGGGCACCCTCACGGCACTATAGTGTCAAGAAAACCACATTGTTTTCCTGACACTATAGTGATCCTTTAATCTCAAAGAAGTGGTCTGGTTACCTTGTCTCTGTCTGTTTACCCTGCAACTGGAAGTAATGTTTTCACTGCACGGTTAACATGCCTCTACAGACGGGCTTTCGCAGCTATAAATGTGGTTATAGCTCATATGAATTGCATGGAGAGGACTTGATTGGCATTGCACATGTGTACTGACCTCACAATTGGGGAAACATTGGATTGGCAGAGATCATGGAGACTGGTAAGTGAATCAGCAGCACGGAGACCAGTGCACCGCAGAATGTACTGTAACTAAAATTTTCCCTTTAAACCGCTGCATAATGTTGGGGACACCTGCACTGATATGTGAACACTATAGCATTAGGAATAAAAATTTTTAGCAGACAGCAAAACATCACATCCCGGTGCGCGCTCTCTCTCTCTCTCTCTAAATGGTCTGCCTGGGAACAAACAGGAGAGACCTGTGCGGCATCAGATTCACAATTTTCAACCGCCTTCCACTAGGGGAACACAACGCTCAATTTCAACTACAACTAAATTCCATAAAATAATTTATTACCAAAGCCGAGAATCGCAGACAATGGACAAGAAAATTGCAAATTCAGGCTGAAACATCAGATCCGGAAAAACAGACGTCCTTCTCTATAGTTCCAATTTAGCTATAAACACCCAAGTCTCAGAACTGAAAATAAAAAATCTATATAGATATTATTATTATTAGAAAAGGATTGGATTGAACCGCATTTTGCCTGTTCTTTAACTTTGAATTGCTACTCTCTCTCTGCAAGAGTCTATAAAATTAACTACGTAGAATCTACCTGCCCAGTTGAGATTCTGTCGTCCATTTTCCAGAGCTCTGCGAACACACAAGGGAAATACTTTGCGAGGTTCTTTCCCTAACAATAACAAGCATGGCTGGACAGCAGGTTTATCTTGAACCAGCCAAGTAACACACAGGATTTCCCTCTGGGTTGAAGAACCAAACAGACAGCAAGGGGGAGACCTGCTGTTCTTCATAACAACTGACATTTGCCACATCCCTGGGGAAAAGTGAAGATTTATTCCTGCAAACCTGCATTTAAACACCATACAGGTTTCCAGGCTAATTTAGTTCTCAGTTTTCCAAGTGCAAACATTCCTGGGAGAGATTAATTAAGGTTTCATGCCTCAATTTTAAAGGTTCTTTTTAACCTTTCTGGTGTTATTTACTACATTATAATTTATGACGAACGAGCAACAGAATGTGGGTCAAAACAGCTGAAACGGAAGTGATGCTCACCTGGAAAATATTTTAGTTAACATTTTGATAGTCCGTTTAAAACAATGCACGCTTTAGTGAATAAGCCCCTTTAGACACTGCTTATTAGAGCTGGAAATAAAATGTACCTTCAAGTAAAACGGTCATAGACAAGTGATTCTCCCAATGCCCCACACCCCCCAATTCCCCTGGAATCAGATCACGTCCTCAGATTCTCAGAATTATTCAGCCAATCGCTCTGGTCACTTGTCGCTTTCTATGGGAGAATCAGATCAGAAAACTAACATGGTAGAGGTAAGTGGGGAACAAATGTCTGATCAGAATTGCCAGCCAAAGTTAAAAAAAAAAAAAAAAAGGGGAGATTTTTAGTGTGTGTGTTTTTCGAGGACACATTTGACCATGAGTTTTAACCCATGTTAATTGTTTTAGCCATGAAATTAAATACCCATATGCATTACCCAGGTGTCCATGGTGTCCTTTTAAATGCCATTAACAATAACAAACTTTGCAAGAAGATTTATGGCTTCCATAATTCTATCAATAGTTCAAAATGTATTTCTACCAGCCCTCTAATAATACACAAGCTACTGTATGTGGGCCAGTAAGAAATCCTAGTGCCAGTTATTATGATTGTGGGGAAGGAGAGACGGATAACTCAAAGGGATTATTCACTAAACAGTAAATTGACAAATTGAAGATCAAATTATTCATCAAATTTCTCTACTTCCATTTTTTGCCTAAAATTTGCAACTCGCTGTAACCATTTAGTGGATAAAGCCCGAGAACGATTGCTATGTGGCACAAACCACAACTATCCAGTTACACTTTTAGGAGACAGAAATTAACAGGTTATGTTTGAGGCCATAACATACAGAGATAGCTTTGTGATTTTGCCCTTCCTGGTCGTACTAATTCGTGTAATCCTTCTAGCCAAGAAAATTCAATTTGATGGACAGAGGACCTTTAGTTAGATATTTTCCCGTGGTCAATCCGCACCTCCTCATAGAGATGCATTGAATCAATACATCTCTATGAGGAAAATTCTGCTGCATGGAGATACTGAACGGCAGTGCTGCTTACTGTGCAGCACTGCCCCAGGAAGCACCTCCACTTACCATCTGAGTGTGTCTCTTTAATGGAGTATATCTCTTTAAGCTGTAAATAATTCCAGACCATCACTCAACTTTAATACTATAAAGATGAATATAAACACAACCTTTCTTCATTTCCCGTTACATTAAGTATTCACTATGTTTACAGACATCAACACAATGAATATTGATATGTCGATATGTTGCCTTGCTTTTTCCAGCAGGTAGAAAGAGGACAGAAAGAACAATGTGGTCTTGTTTTAACAGGACTATTGATCAGGACAAATCCTTCCCCTGTTCAGTTCAACACAATCTTCATCTTCCTTGTAAAATTCTCATGTTTGACATTTTTACTTTTACATAAAAGCAAAGCTGGTATATAGGAGCATTTCAAGCATGTTTGATGCAATGCATTAATTAAGTTACATTATATTATTTTTTTTGCTCAACTGTACAGTTTGGTCACTCAACTGTCCTGCTTTCAGTGGAACAGTCCCTATTTTGGGGTCCTGGCCATCCCGAATCTGGAAACACCAGGGAACTGTCCTGCTTTCAGTGGAACAGTACCTATTTTGGGGTACTGTCCTGGCCATCCCGAATCTGGAGACATTAGGGAACTGTTCTCGGGGCAGGGCAGCTGTGCAGCGGGAGCTAGAACCAGTGCTCTCCGCATGGACATGTAGACTGGCAGCTGGCCAGGATACGGTCTGTCAGCCTTGTGTGCTAATGCCAGTCCACTCCCATGCAGACCCAACCATTATGGGCAAACCATTTACCAATAGCTTACCCTCTTACCTGTCTGTCCCCTGGGGTTCCTTAAACCCTGGGGATGCAGAGCTGCAAGTAGATCCAGTCACCACACTGTGTAGGACAGTTTGCCCATACGTGACATTAGCCAGCCCATGAACTCTTGTTCCAGCTGGCCAATGATGCTCCAATGACGCAGTCGGAGGTGGAGTTACAAACTCTGCGCATACACACTCTAGGAACCCTGACCAGTTCAAATCCGTTCAAAGTGGCCATGATGCTCAGAGAAACCCTTTATGCTTGGAACAAAACATCCTATTCAGGGCTCAAAATTTCTACTCACCCACTAGCCATGGGCGAGTGAAAATTCAGCCCTGGTGAGTAGAAATTCACCCCTGCTGAGTGTGAGACGGATTACCCAAGCTTGCCGTGACAAGTACATTTCAGGACTCTCTAGAAACGTAGAAATTGGAATGTTGAGACCTGTTCTATACTTCCTGTCTGAAGAACTCTGCTCTGTATTCTTGTGTTATGTTGCTTGAGATCATAGAATGGACCTGCTGCATTTATTATTGAGATGAGTATCGGAACCTTCGGATAAGTGCACATATAATAGTTTAGCTCACACCTGGGGAAAAACGGACGTTATTTATAATTTCTGAAATGCTGAGGGCAAGGATTTGTGGACTACATATACCATGAAAAGAATGTTACTGTGCATACTACTATAAAATATTTATATATTTCGCACACAATTATCAACATTTAGCTTTAGAGCAGTTCATCATTTACCTCTCTGATGTCACATTCTCCAACAGTATCAGAATTGTGGATTTACCTTTATAGTCCATCTACTAGATTTTATTGCGCAAAAAACAAACAAAAAACCCCTATTAATTCCAAAATCATAGATGAGCTATTTACTAAACGTAACCATTGTGTAATCACAGAGGAGGATAATTTGAATCCACTTACTTAAAGCAAAACCAGAAGATATGCGAACACTGAGAAGCATAACAGCTTGCCTTTCGGTTCGTCTCCAAACAAACAAGTTTTTTATGCAATTACAGGGAGAACCTAGGCCTGTCCCATATCAGACTGAACGCATCCATAAATGTCATCCATATCCAGAGTGCCAGCAAACTCCCTCTGCACAAGAGATAAAACAACCCCCGACAATGGTTTTGGCCTTCTTTGGGCCATGTCAGGAAGGTGTGGCTGATAACCCTCTAGGAACACATGGTCTTTATAACCAATTGTATCTAGAGTAGTTAAATTCTTTGTTGCTGCAAAAAGAAAAAATAATAATTTATAAATTAACTCAATTAAAAGTTTTGTATCTAGAACCCTACAAATGGGGATTATCCAGATGCATGTTAATGGAACTAAAACTGCAGATACTATCCAATCAAGGAGCACAACCGTAAATGTAAACAACATTTGATGAGACAGGTCCACAGAAAGTAGATATCTCACAATGCATATCAATAAATCAAAACATAAATCACATTCGAATGGTACAGAAAAATTGCCAGAAGTTCTACAATTACATCCAAGCAGAATATATAGTAAACAAATTCCTTAAAGGACCACTATAGTGCCAGGAAAACATACTCGTTTTCCTGGCACTATAGTGCCCTGAGGGTGCCCCCACCCTCAGGGTCCTCCTCCCGCCCGGCTCTGGGGAGAGGAAAGGGGTAAAAACGTACCTTTTTCCAGCGCTGGGCGGGGAGCTCTCCTCCTCCGTTCCTCCCATTCGGCTGAATGCGCGCGCATTCAGCCGGTCGCATAGGAAAGCATTTACAATGCTTTCCTATGGATGCTTGCATGCTCTCACTGTGATTTTCACAGTGAGAATCACGCAAGCGCCTCTAGTGGCTGTCAGGCGCTAGAGGAATTGGAGGAAGGATTAACCCATTTGTAAACATAGTAGTTTCTCTGAAACTGCTATGTTTATTTAAAAAAAAGGGTTAATCCTAGAGGGACCTGGCACCCAGACCACTTCTTTAAGCTGAAGTGGTCTGGGTGCCTAGAGTGGTCCTTTAATACCAATGTATAAATAAGTAATAGAGATACCAAACCATAACAACCCACCAATAAATCTATATAAGAAAAGCAAATGCATACCAGAACTAGGGAGAAGAGGGAAGAAAAATCAATCAGCAAAGCCCCCAACGTTTCAGCAAAAAAGAGACCTTTATCAAGGGAGCCTGGAACCAAAACTGAACAGGAACTCTCGTGCACTTGAGTTTCCCTGACAAATTGGTTTTGAAGAGAGGGTAGTCAACTCAGCAAAGTATAAGGAGAATCAATTAGGTCTAAGTAAGATGCATTGGTTTAGCGTATTTGCGTTTTACAACTTTGAAAAACCGCCTCCCTTTATGCCAATACCACCTAACGATACCATACGTAAAGATCTTACAACCACAAGGAACATCATGCTTAATTAACACAACGCCAGTATATCGCCGCCACAGATTCCCTTTCCCAAAATACCGCAGCTCCAGCACTCATTAAAGTAAATATTGCTGGTATTGCCTTTCTCCCCCACACATTAGTAGAGACGGAATGCTGGGAGTAGATTTGTTTAATGCAGGCAAGCACTCTGAATTTATACATACAGTAAACTTCTCCCCTGTGCCTAAGAGATAATTGAGTCAGGCAAATTACAACTCAGTTATCTCACAGGTAAAGAAAAATATTAAAAAAAAATTAAACACCCCAAAGGTACCCCCAAAATCCATGGAAACCCTTCGAGAGTCACATCCCCGGATAGCCCTGATCTGAGTGCCTATCATTTCCAAAAAGCACTCAGATCGGTTTGGTGGTTTGGATTTTCCATTGAGGTACAATTTTGACCGGCCGTCCACGAGGTAGAAGCCCAGAGCAGTTCCAGGGAAATCGTGGCAACGGCCGGTCTCAGTTCGAGGTGTTTTTTTTACAAAAACCATACATACTATGCAAACGTTTTTAGGTGTCGAATGCTCCCCCCATTCGGTAGTTTGTATCTCCCGAGCGCCATTCATATAGGTGGTCTGGAATTTTAACGGGCAGCAGTTCCATATTCACGGGTGTGCGCGGGAGTGCCTAGTCAAAAAAAGTTCCGGGCACTCAGCAACCAGGTACCGCTGTCTGCGTTCGGGAGACAAGATGGCCGCCATCCATTCTGTCGACCATGTGCATTCTGTGCACAAAATGACGGCCACCGAGGGGAGCCTTTTAATAGTTTCTGTTGGGGTTTCGCACTGGATACTTTGTATTCCACGTTCTAATTAGATTTTGGTACCAGGGGAATTTCGGATGAACAAACGAACAGGGGAAAACGATTACAACCAAACCAAGTGATGGGGTATTCCTTCACAATACCCAAAAACAGTGCTTTAATAAAAAAAAAATTTTTTTTTCTTTTTTGAGTAATCACTTAACAATCAGGTCTCTAGTGTTGTAAATATGCATATAAAGAACAAATTGGTGTGTGAGTGTATAACAGAGCTCCACAAAAATAGTACTCCCAGTAAATGTGTCTTTGAACTACAATAAATGTGTTTAAAAATCAGTCTGTGTAAATAAGATACATTGTTCTAAATTATAGTTTAATTGCATAAATTCCCAGATTTTACTAGTAACATGTAGTAAAGTCATGATTTTATTAAAGACACGGAGGCGAGTATTATGCATAACTCTTTCTTTATTTCCTCAGCAGCAAAGAAAAGAGAAATATAAATATTATCAAAACTGAAGAAAAAACTGTATAGGCACAACAGGTAGCCAATCACAGGATATAGGAAGTAGCTATATAAGTCTTGTGTCTCCCACAATCCCCCTCTTTCTTGCGAACCGAAGACCAGGTAAGATGAACGATGTCCCACTTGGTCGAAACAGGGTAACGGGAAACGATGCGACAATTTCAAGCTAAAAAAAGATGGAGAAATATGGTAATTTCTTAATTCATAACTGCAAACTTACCAAACATAGTCTTGGGGAGACACAGGTAAAACAGAGTTCTGAAATATAAAACATCAGAATTAGTACACAACATAAAGGTACAACAACCCGTACAAAAGATGCAAATCAAACTGATAGAATACAGACCAAACTGGAAAAACATACCTGTAGAGCCACCAAGCATTTCTTATCCCAACTGCACTCCGGGAGGGTGGGAGGGAATAATACTCGCCTCCGTGTCTTTAATAAAATCATGACTTTACGTCATGTTACTAGTAAAATCTGGGAATTTTATTAAAGACACGGAGGCTCATATTATGCAAGTTCAAAGCTGCGCCACCACACGAGATGCGATGTGCTCAATTGGTCTGAAGTAGAAGGCTCGGAAGGTCGATTCCCGAGACCAATCCGCCGCCCGCATAATGTCCTCTAGGCGACATCCGACTGAAGAGGCTTTCGAGGCCATCGCGCCCCTTACAGAATGAGGCGTAAATACTGAGGTGTCTATACCCGCGGAGGATAGCAGCCAGCGCACCCAACGTGCTAGAGTAGGAGTCGAAACCGGCCGGTGAGGTGATTTAAAGGATATGAACAGATCGTGCAGGTCTGTTATGCGAAGGGGACGTGTAACATCCAGATAGTCTTTGATGCAATCCACCGGGCAGAGCGCTGGACAGTCTGAAAACCTAGGGTATGTAAGTGACTTAGACGCAGACTTGGTCCACCTGGAAATGTCAAAGGTGACGCCTTCTGGGGTGAATGCAACGGCGTCCCAGTCCAGGGCCCGAACGTCAGAGACTCTTCTGCAAGAAATCAGGCACAGTAACATAACCAATTTGGCAGACAATTGTTTGAGAGTCAGCTCCAGATTGGGGTACCATGACGATAGGAACTGTAGCATCACGTTGACGTCCCAAAAGGCAGCAAAACGAGGTCGAGGAGGAAGAGCAAGGCGAATACCTTTGAGAAGTCGACAGACAAAAGGATGCTTGCCGACCGGAGAACCGTCCAGACCTTCGTGACCGGCTGAGATAGCTGAGCGGAAAAGGTTGATCGTGCGGTATGCCTTGCCTGAATCAAATAGGAACGTGAGGAACTCCAGAATCAAAGGTAGAGGGGCAGATACGGGATCCATTGCCCGTTCCATGCACCAACCAGACCATGATCTCCATGAATGTCGGTAAGCTGTCCGTGTACCCGGGGCCCAGGCGTTATCGAGGAGTCGGAGAGTTGACTGCGAAACGTCTGGGATAACCCAAGGTCCCCTGAAAGGAACCACGCTATAAGGGGCAGCTGAGGTCGTGAGAGTTCCCATCCGGATCCAGAAGGAGGTCTTGGAATACCGGAAGCAAACGAGGGTAGTCTATGGACAGTTCCATCAGCCGAGGGAACCATGGTCGAGACCTCCATAGAGGGGTGATCAAAGCCATCCGACAATCGTGGCGGACCAGTTTCGAGATCGTGCGTGCGATCATGTTGAATGGGGGAAAGGCGTACATCAGACCCGGTGGCCATTCTTGGAGGAAGGCATCTGTCGCTATTGCAGCCGGGTCCGGCCTCCAACTGTAGAACCTCGGTAGCCGAGTGTTCAGGCGTGATGCGAATAGATCCAACTGGAACCGGCCCCACAACCTGCTCAGGCATTGGAACACTGAAGCGTGTAGATGCCAGTCCCCGGAATCCCGCAAGTGTCTGGAATTCCAATACGCCCCCGAATTGTCCAGTCCTGGGATGTGTTCCGCCGTCACCAAGACATTTTGGCAGAACTGCCAAAAATCCTTTGCCAGAGTCGCCAACATTTTGGATTTCGTGCCCCCTAGGTGATTTATGTAACGAACTGCTGATACGTTGTCCATCTTGAGGAGAACGCAACAATTCGCCCTCACCGGAGCAAGGCTGCGGATCGCGAAGGCACCTGCCAGGAGTTCCAAGCAGTTGATGTGTAACGACTTCTCTGTGTCGGACCATCTGCCTCCCGTGGAGACGTTGCCACAACGAGCGCCCCAGCCGTGTAAGCTGGCATCGGACTCTATCACCACATCCGGGGCGGAACCGAAGATGGCTCTTCCGTTCCATGCCTCCATGTGCGCTAGCCACCACGATAGCTCGTCCCTGGACTCCACGTCCAGTGTTATCCGAGATTCGTATGAATGACCTGAGCAAAGCTGCGATCCCTTGAGCCATTGAAGCGCTCGGTAGTGCAGCGGGCCTGGGAAGATTGCTTGAATAGAGGCCGCGAGGAGGCCGATAATTCTCGCCAGTTGTCTGACCGATAAGTCCGGAACACGGAGGGCCCTCCAAATCTCCTTCTGGATGGCTTTCACCTTGGCATCCGGGAGGAACAGAAACTGTCGGATGGAATCCACTTGAAAACCCAGAAACTCTATGGACTGGGCAGGAACGAGGACCGACTTGCTCCAATTGATCAGAAATCCCAGTTTCTGTAGAAGGTCGGTCGTCCATCCCAGGTGTGTGAGGAGATCCTCTCGTGACTGGGATAAAATCAAGATATCGTCTAGGTAGATAATGAGACGAACCCCCCGGGTTCGGAGGAATGCCACCACGGGCTTCATGAGCTTGGTGAAGCACCAGGGTGCCGAGGAGAGACCGAAAGGCAGGCAGGTGAAGCGCCAACGACGCCCATGCCATGTGAAATGGAGATAATCCCGGAACTCCAAAGCGATGGGGACCGTAAAGTAGGCGTCCTTCAGGTCCAGTTTGGCCAACCAGTCCGATTGACGTAGGAGGTCCCTGAGGCAGTGTATACCTTCCATCTGGAAGTGTTGGTAGCGTAGAAAAGCGTTGAGTGGGCGAAGATTTATCACCGGGCGGACTCCGCCCCCTTTCTTGGGCACCAGGAATAAATTGCTCGTAAAGCCTGGGGCGGCGAACGGCAACTCCTCTATAGCGCCTTTGGACAGCATCTCCACCACTTCCGTGGAAACCATCTCGTCCTGTTCCGGAGGGAGGGACAGTTCCCTGGGGGGATAAAACTGGACAGGCATGGAAACAAACTCCAGACGGAAACCCCTTACACATTGTAAAACCCAAGCATCTGAGGTGATCTTTGCCCATTCCAGACAAAATAGGGCCAGCCTCCCCGCCACCCGGATTGGAGCGTGAGGGGAAAAAAGGGTACTCACCGTAAGGACGTCTGCCGGGGGTACCACCGCGGGGGTATCTGGAGCCCCAGGCCCGACCTCTTGCCGGGAAGAAGGGAGGGGCCCTCTGTTCCTGAAATCCTCTCGAGGGAAAGAAGGAACCTCTGGTTGCGCGGAATGCGCCTCGGAAACCACGGCCGGGTGGACGGTTCCTGCTACGCCCGGCCCCTCCGAAAACCTTAGGCGCGAACACGCGCTTCATGTTCGCCTGTGCCTTGTCAATAGCCGTAAAGGTCTTGACATAAGCACCCATATCCTTAACGAAGGACGTGCCAAACAGGAGACCCTCCTCAGTTGGATCAGGCTCCGCCACAGTCATAGCGGCCAATTTAGGGTCGATCTTCAGGAGGATCGCCTTGCGTCTTTCTGTAGACATGGCCGTATTGGCGTTCCCCAGTAAGCAAATAGCTCTTTGGACCCAACCAATGGCCACATCCACGTCCAGGATGGAGTCCCCGGTCCTGGCAGCATCCAAAAGCTCGTAAAGCTTGGAAAGGGGGCCCAGGGTTTCCAGGATCTTGTCCTGGCAGCTTTTAAGGGAGTGGTCAAGGCCCTTCTTGGGCTTCCATCCTGACTTATTCAGGAATTGAGCAATTTGCGGGTCAATGTCCGGGGTTTTGCAAGCCGCGCCCGGGAGGGACGGGCGTGGGCACTCGGCGCGCAATTTATTGCGGCCTTCCCTAGAAAGTGGCGTGCGGATACGCTTAGCCACATATTGGACGATATGATCTGGGGGAACCCACTCGGCGGACCGAGGATGACGTAGGTCGTCTGGGTCAAATAGGGGGTTGCCCTGTGGGTCAAGGATCGAGGTGTCACCCCCCGGGGGAGCAAGTGAGGGGCCCCGGGTATTGGCGGAGGACCCGGAGGGGTTCACGCCCTAAGGGGCAAATCCTCGCCAGAGTCCTCATGATCAAAGGAGTCGTACTCCATAGCGTCGGACTCATCCTCCACACTCCGGTCGGTATCCGACCCAACATCATGGGCTCTAGCCCTTTTCCATAGTCTAGCCTTTTTAGCCCGGCCAGGGGCTCTTCTGTGCGTGGGGTGCGCGCCATCTGAGACCGCCTCAGGCGTGTCAGTCATTGCAGGTAAAACCTGCATCGAGGAGTGGGAGCCAACATGTTTGGATTTAGCCTTTGCCTTACGGGCTCCAGGCACGGTTTGAGCAGGGGAGAGAGCAGGGGTGGCCATGGCAGGTGAAACTAGAGAATGCAGGGACTGGGAAAAATTTGAGGAGACAGCTCCCATGGCTGAGGCAATAGCCTTCTAGATGGAGGAAGCCATAGCGGCCTCTAACATGGCTTGAAACTCTTGGGAGGCCATGGCACCATCAGTATTATCCAATTGGAAGTCCCCTGGGGGACCAACAGGCCCATCACCCCTATCCTGCATGGTAGTGACAGTGGGGGACAGAATAGACAGACCAATGAGAATTTTAAATAGTTAAATAATAATTAATTCAATGGAAAATTATATAGGGACTAATGAAACTAACTACAAACTAATCAGGCTGAATAACACCAGGGTGCTAGCTGGGAGAGAGAGGGGAGGGTTGATTAACCCACAAGAAAACAGAGACAAACGGTCCGGCTGGTGTCCCCAGGGAGCAGGGCTACGAGGTGGCCGGTCGCACGGCAGCACTGGGAGGAATATAAAAGACCGCCCCCAAAATGGCCGCCGCACGAGGGAGGCACACGCAGGAAGCACTCGGCGGGGGAAGGGGCTCGTGCACCCGCCCGCCGAGCCGACACGCTATCCGGAATAAGGGGGGAGGAGAGAGGCGTGTACACCGCCGCGGCCGCGATCTCCTCACAGCAGGTCGGGTCCCGTGCAGAAGCACGGGTAGGAGAGGGGAGAGAGGAGGGGGGGGTGGGGACCGCCCGGACGGGGCAGTGACACACCCGCGGGCCCAGAGGGGAGACACCAGCCGAGGAAAACAACAAAAATTAAAACAACATCACAAACAAATTCAAATAATAATAAAACAAAACAGCATGTAAATTATAAAAAGAAACACACTGTAAGACAAGTCAAAATGGGATCACAATGCAAGCCAGAGATCAGAGAAACACTTATCTGTCTGAGGAAGCAGCAAAGAAAGAGGGGGATTGTGGGAGACACAAGACTTATATAGCTACTTCCTATATCCTGTGATTGGCTACCTGTTGTGCCTATACAGTTTTTTCTTCAGTTTTGATAATATTTATATTTCTCTTTCTTTGCTGCTGAGGAAATAAAGAAAGAGTTATGCATAATATGAGCCTCCGTGTCGTTAATAAAATTGTTATTAGTAAGGCACAACAGCTCTGCCCCTGGCCCATTCCCACTCACTAAAAGTAAAGTGTCCCTCTTAGTCCATTTCACATGTCTGGTGGTATGTTATCATGACATGTCAGTTTTTCTTATTATAAAGGTAAAGAAAAAATATAAAAAGTTTAAACAAACGTGACTGTCCTGAACACATGAGCCATTTAAATAATTATTTTTTTTAAATTGCAGATACTGCAGGTTCTGTGTACAAAACACAAGGATATGTTATCGTTCAACACGGCACAATTCCTAGCAAGCAGGTGCTGCAGGCTGATGACATCATCTCTCTCGCTGAAGAAAAGATCCTTTTTACGCCCAGATCGGTTTAGCAAGGAAATGTATAATCAGATCAGTCATATCGCCGGCTTGCAGGAGAGACTGAAACTGGATAAATGGGATTCCTATACAACAAAGCACAAGGATTTGACAGGGAGAGAGTGAGAAATGGTAGAACACGTTGCCAGAAAGGCTTATAGGCCTCTGGTCTTGTAGGAAGGATAACTTAATAACATAGTTATCAAGAGCTCATGAGATTTAAAAAAAAAAAAAAAAAATCTGGTTAAATGCCATGTTCTAATGCCTTCACTGGCCACTTTAAATAGAGGTGGGTGCTCAGAAGAATGACAAATAATTAATACCCACAAGCAATTGTATTCATTAAAATGCATATTGTGCGCAAGTTAAACGAGAATTGAAAATTTAAGGCCAAAAGAAATGAGCTAGAAAATTTATCTAGAGATTTTTTTGCCAAATAAATTCTCAAAAATGTACATCTTAATTTGTAAATTCTTGTGAAGCTTTTAAGTGCAAAAATAATTAGGTTTTCTTTTCTATGTGTCTTTAAGGACTGATTTACTAATAAAAAACCATGCTGCTCCTTTAAATCACACAAATCAATGATGCTGCAGGCAAGGCCGCCACCAGAAATTTTGGCCCGCCTCCAATCCCGCCCACAGGGTCCGCCTCCAAAAACCGCCCACAGGAATACACACAGACACAAACACTGATACAAAATGACACAGATACATACTAACAGACACATACTGAAACAGACATACACGCATACAGGCATACATACTGAGACACACACACATATACAGACACACAGGCATACATAGTGACAGACACATACTAACATACATGAGGACAAAGACACATACATACATGCATACATACAGGCATTTGCATACATTCATACAGACACACACACACACACACACACACACAGCTCATTTTCCAGCCACCCTCCTGTTTCTTACCTTTTCTTTGCAGGAGGGTGGCTGGGGCTGATGGGAGTAGTTGGTTGGCTCTCCCTCACTGCCTGGCTTGCGGTCCTCCCGCGCGGAGTGAGCACTTGCTGCAGCTGCGTTTTTTTTCGGTTTTAAAGGGGCCCGGTCGCGCTATAACACGGCCACAGCGCTGACGAGGCCCCTGAAGATACTGCACCGGCGGCAGTTCTGCCGCTACACGTGGGGCCCGGGCGGCTGGGCCCCCCAAGGCCGCTGGGCCCGTGACAACCGTCATGGTTGTCACCCCCTGATGGCGGCCCTGGCTGCAGGGGATGGTCACCCTTGAACCCTGATTTTAGCACTCTTTCTTTGTTTGCCCCCAAGTCCCTTGTAATACAGGGAGAGAAAGGACACTCCCAGTCAAATAATTTGGGACAGTGCAACTTTAATTCACTATATCTGGTGTACATTATATACAATGTGTGGATATTGCGGTGGGAGCATACTTAATGTTACAAGTCTGGGCTTAATGCATCAGGTGTGGAGCTCACAAATATACGCTTCTATAAGTTTTATGTTTTTTACCACCGGGCTAGAAATGGACAGAAAATCAGATCAAAACAGAAAGAAGTGACCCTTGAAATATACCCCAGTAACGATAAGATAATATAACAATGGTAACAATGGGAGGTCTTCTTGGCTAAAATTCACCTTGTAACTCAAGAGACTATCGCTCAAGAGTAGCGGTTCCCATTTGGTGGTCCGCCAAAATTTCTTAAAACAAAATGGCCGTGGGCGGCGAGGGAGCAGTGATCTCCCTCGCGCGCACAGCAGTGATTCCGTAGCCGGAATATGACGTCACTCCGGCATTACTAAAAGGCACTGCTCCCTCACCGCCCACACGCCAGCCGCCCCACTGGACCCCAGGGACCACACCCCAGCCACTCAGCAGCCCTACCGCCTTTTTTTTTATTTTTTATTATTATTATAAATTGTATGTGTGTTTGTCAGTAAGAGTGTATGTGTGCTTGTCAGTGAGAATGTATGTGTGCTTGTCAATGAGAGTGAATGTGTCTGTATATGTGTCTGTCAAAGAGTATGTGTGTCTGAGTGTGTCAGTGTGTGTATCTGTGTGCCAGGGTTTGTGTATATGTCACTGTGTGTATCTGAATGTGTATGTATTTGTGAGTCAAGATGTGTGTATGTGTCACTGTGTGCATCTGAGTGTGTGTATGTGTATCCGAGTGTGTTTTTCTGTGCCACTATGTGCCAGTGTGTGTATCAGATACACACACACACACACACACACACACACCGGCATATACAAACACAGATACATATAGTTTGACACATAGAAAAACACCTTGATACATATATACACTGTGTGTATCTGTGTGTATCTGTGTGCCAGACACATACACACACTGGCACATACAAACATAGATACACACACCTTTGGGGGATTTGGAGGTTCCACGATGTTGATACACTATGTCAGAGGGTTCCACAGGAGGAAATATTAATTTGGAACCCCTGATCTAGAGGACCGTCATGAGTCGTCAGCTAAATCTGCTTCTTGAGCAATTTAAATAGTAGATTTTCAGTCTAGAACATTCACCAGCTCTGTTAATCCAGACGTCTTCTCTTACTGTCTGCAGCACCACAAAACGCGGTGCTTAAATCTTCGGATGATACCTCCTCCACTTAATCTTGCTTGGCAGAGCTGTCATAACTAATGCGTTAACCAGTCAAGCCCTGGCAATGGGATAGACTTTATAAAACTTAATGACCTACATTGCAGTGTTAACTTACCCTTCTTATACTCCAGCAAGGAAAATACACAAAATTTAACCCTTTTATTCAGTCATCTCATAATGAGGAAAGGGAAAGATGGACAATAACTTTCAGTGGAAAGTGTTAAAAATCTCTGATCTCTCCCACTTCCACAGGTTAATCAACGATCAATCATTTTATTCCTATAAATTCAGATTCACAGACAAACATAGGGGTGGAATATTGTTCCACCCACTCCCAGTTTAGCTCCGCATCCAACAAAAATAAACCTTAATTATTTTACCTAAAGGATTAATCCTGTCATGATAGCCTCATATATTTGTACAGCCCTGTACAAGATCTTAAAGCATAAGAGAACTGTATAGCTTGGGGTGTGTGTAGGTGTGAGAAAAAAAAAAGATACATGATCGGTACATCCACCCTTGAATTCTATATGCAACGTTTGTACATTCTTTCAGGGATTTCGTATTTGAGTCGGACAAGCTGAATAAAACTACGAGAACATTCTTTAATGCATCAGTGAAGTTATGAGAGGAATTTCACCTTTAAAAATGTACCAAGTTATTGTTAAGGATTAACAACGAACAGACAAGATGTGGAAGCGCATAAACAAAAACCCCCTCCGAGAAAACAGGATTTCTCTGCTACAAAATTTACTATGCAAACAGAGCGTAACACAGCTAGGAAAATGCTGAATGAACATGTACAGGGGCTAAGAGATAGTACGACAGGCAGATCAGCAAATTGCCCGTCATGTCAAATTATTACACAAATAGGGATGTTGTTACATTTCCCCCCCTCCACAATGACATCGAGGACTGGTTGAAAATTCAGGCCAAACATTCTCTGAAACCTCGTTTGGAAGGAAAGGACATGACACGGTTCTATATATTAACCTTGGGCAAGTGTTTGGAACACTGACATTTTCACATCACACGGACGTTTACAATTTATCGTATGTGGAGGTTTATATGGACAGCAAATCCACTGTGCTCCTCCTACGAAGACCACCACTAATGGCCTGGGGTCAACAAGCAGTTCATTGGACACAAAACCTTCATTCAGCATTGCCACTCGAGTCTTAATACAATGCAATGCGGTTTATGACTGAAACCAGTGTTTTACACGGAATATCATATTTAGGACTTCTTCCTCAATTCTACCCGCTGTGATGCAAAACAAAATTGTCAGACCAGCCATGGGTTTACACACTAAAGCCAAAACTGTAGCGAATTGGAAAGAAAAAGGTTAAATTTAGGCAAATTAGCAAGTTTGCAAAAATTCTCCAGTTCCACCCCAGCCACAGGGTGGCTATTATAGCCTACATTTGGCAGTTTTGCTTTTTATCACAATTTGGCATTTAATGAGTAACCCATGTCTATGTAATTTTGGAAAAGACGCATACTGGAAATGCAAAATAAACGAATCTGTTATGTTTAAAACACATGTTTTTAAATGCAATCCCCTAGGCATTCCCCCAAAATTTCCAGTTTAGGGAATAATATTAAATAAGAAGTCCCAAATTTTCTTTACCACATCACATTAAAATGTGAGGCTAGGTCAAATCTAACTTAGAAATTTGTTGACTTCACTTTGGGAGAAAAAAAAAAAAGTTTTCAATGTATTTATTTATTTTTAAAATCGCCAAATAAAAGTTTTAAAAAAAAGTGTTAAAAAAAACCAGATAAAGACGTTTATATAGGGAAAATATTCCTACAAAAATATTGCCCATCCATAATAAGGGGAGGATTACTGCAGACCCCCAAAGGACCAGCATGTTGTCTTGCAAAGGATTAAATAGGAAATGCCACTTCTATAAAACAGCCAGTTCTTCGTTTATTAAACTAAACACAACGGGGGGGAAAAAAGACGAGGAACGAGACTGAAGGGAGACATGGGACACAAAGAGGCGGCAAACTACACTTTTGCCCTGTGGTTAAAAACCCAACACCACCCCCGAGAGTATCAAGGATTATGATTTTTGTTGAAGAGTTAAAATACATAAATTAATCAATTTGTATTTATTTTTTTAATGCAGAATTGTTTACAATAGCCCAGATATAGAATTAACAATAGTTCTTTTTTACAGGGGGGGATTTAATCTGAATGTAGCAATTTGCTAGAGGATCGAGGGAATGATACGGGTCTGTTAGTCTTCTTACCTGTCCAAAAAACATCATCGTAAAAAGCATAATGTGTTAATTAGCCTGACTTTGTTCCTTAAGCAGATTTGGTAAGATGATCCCGGCCTTGTCTAGTAGACCTACTCCTGGGGATTACCATCAGACTAGATTAGGGCTATTGTTTATTTATGGAGCAGCAATTAGCTCTGCGGTACATTAAACCTGCAATGTGCTGTGTGTACAGGTAGAATCACAGACCTCCGCAGCCATAAACACACAGCTCTCACAAACCAACAAATGTATTCACTAAAGACATGGCAAAATCCAAGGCAACAAGGTTTGATTTGGAGAATATCTGCAAGATCACTGTAGTTACGCCTTGGGTATTGTAGCCTGAATTTTGCAACTCACTAAGTGTGTGTATCACAGAGTTCCACAGCAATAAGCAGGGTGAATGACAGCATTAGAAAACTGATAGTAATGTACAACGTGTCATGGAACTCTGCAGGAATAAAACGGACATTAATATACAATGTATCACAGAGCTCAACAGTAACTGGCAGTGTGCATATCCCAGGACTCCACAGCAACAAAATGTCTCTCTCAGATGTTCCGCAGCATTAGAACTTGAAATGTGTTCCAAACGATTCAATTTGAGCAAGGAAGAGGGGTACACAGAAACCTCCCCAACTCTTCAATAAACAATTTGCCCAGGGTTATTCACGGAAGTAAGAATTCAAAGTAAATTTCAAATTAAGGTCAAAATGGCCGAACTGGAGAAATTCTCTGATTCAGCTATGCTTTCAGTTTGACTACTCTGGACTTAAATTTGAAATTCACTTGAATTTAGTAAATAGCCCTGACAGTGTTTTGACCCACATGCTGCCAAGGTGACACAGCACCTATTAATCCCTTCCTGCATTGATAAAGGTAGCAGCCGCCCATAAAATGGTGTCGGTGCAGAACCTAGCAGGAATATCTGCCAGACTGTTTAATGTAGAGGAGATTAGCAGCTTTGGCCTCAGGCTGTTACTGTTACTCATATAAACAGGTGTTCATTATCTCTCATGTTTACACTCCTATCCTCCAGCATCGAACCGAGCTGCAAACATGCATATTATAAGCTGCACTATCTGTGCAAAATTGTCAGCTCGAAAGAGCAGAGGGCAGGCAAGTTAGAAGCATCGTATGGTCCGTCCCTGGGCCTAGAACTGCCTTTCAGGTCAAATGACCTGAAAATATGATACAGGCAGCTGAGAATGATGGGATTTCTAGTTTAAACAGAACTAAAGACCCAGGCGGCCCTTTGCCGTTTATTGGCGACTAGAAAATGGAGTTTGCCAATATGTATGATTCAAGATAATTCTCTGCATTCTTGGATATTCCAGTCATTTTTATTGGCAAAATGCTCCACAATTCAGCACAAGTCACGCTTTGTCATTTATAACAAAATGTACAGCCCTAATGTATTTATTTTTTTCTTCCTCTGTTCTCTCCAAAACAAAGTCCCTCATCAAATGCACATTCCTGTGGCTTTTCCAAATCATTTATGCCCATACAAAACACTTCCTGGGTGGCTGTCAATGTGTCCCTGCACATAATGCCCAGGCTCAGAGCATGACTGGGGACACAACCATGTAATTAGCATGCCCCTGTGCATTCATATCTCACAATGTTGGGAGTGCAGTAGCAGATTCTCAAAGACAATATCCCCAACAATGGGAATTGCTCAGCAAAAATGTAAAAGGCTGTTTTAAAGGGACACTATAGTCACTAAAACAACTTTAGCTTAATGAAGTATTTTTGTGTTAACAGATCATGCCTCAGAAGTCTCATTGCTCAATTCTCTGCCATTTAGGAGTAAAATTACGCTTTTATCCATGCAGCCCTAGCCACACTTCCCTTCAGAAACAAAGTGATGTAACTCCTAAATCAGTGGCTCCCAACCTTTTTTCACCTGAGTACCCCTTGGCAGCCTATTTCCATAAATTGTACCCCCTCACATTAGCAAAATGTCGTAATTAATATAGTTGCATTTAATTAAAATTTATACATTTTTCTCTGTTCAATCTCCTCTTTTTGTCTGCCCCAGACCCTCCACGCTGCTCCTCCGCCCCAGACCCTCCGCGCTGCTCCTCCGCCCCAGACCCTCCGCGCTGCTCCTCCGCCCCAGACCCTCCGCGCTGCTCCTCCGTGTAGATACATACCCTGACAAACGTGCAGATACACACACATAGATACATACACTGACACACAAGGATACATACCCTGACACAGAGATACATATACTGATAGACATGGAGATACACAGACACATATATACATAACCTGACACACCGATACATACCCCGACATACAGACATTCGGACAGGCACACACATTGACGCACATGCACAGACACATAGATACATAAAGTGACACACATTCAGAAATGTACCCTGACACACATGCAGAAACATATCCTGATACACAGATACAGACACACTGACACACAAATGCATACTCGGACACACATACAGACAAAGATATCCACACTGACATACAGATACGGACACTGAAGCACAGATACATTGACACACAAACATGCAGATACAGACACTGACATATACATACATACATACATACTGACACACTTATAGATGCATACCTTGACACACCCTTACACACAGATACATACCATGACACACATACATAAACGGACACAAATAAAGACACATATCCTGACACATATACAGATACATACCCTGACACTGACACAGAGATACACACTCTGACACACATGCAGATACAGAGAGAGATACACACTGACAAACATGCAGATACACAGACACATATACACGTAAAGATTCATACCCTGATACACACACTGACACACAGATACATACCCTGACACACATGCAGATACACAGACACAGATACATATCCTGAAACACAGATACAGAGACATAGATATATACCATGACACAAATACAGATATACACACTGACACACAGATACATACCCTGACACACACATACATACAATACACTGATACACATACAAATACACCAGGGCTTGACAAATTTGATTGTAATCTAGGAGCCAGCTAAAAAGTTAGGAGACAGTCTTTTTTTTTTTAACTAACAAAGCTTAATTTTCAGCAACAAAAATAGAATTATTAAAGGGACACTGTCACCAGAACCACTGCAGCTTAATATAGTGGTTCTGGTGTCTAGAGCTTGTCGCTTCAGGTGTTTTTTTTAATGTAAACACTGCCTTTTCAGAGAAAAGACAGTGTTTACATTGCTGTTTAGTAACACCTCTAGTGGTCATCACTCAAACCGCACTCAGCAAGGAATCACCTCAGAGGGGGACCGGTCACCTAAACAGACACTCCCTAAGAGACAGAAACACAAAGACTCACTAGCTCACAGACAGACACACGCATTCAGAAGTTGAATTTTTTAAATTATTTTTGATTGAAACCCACCCAGCCTCCCTACCTTTTGGAGAGGTAGAGTGGATAGGCATTCCCTGGGGTCCAGTAGGGCTGCTGTCATCTCCCTGTTCTGCTCCTTGTGGCGCAATGTTTAGTTTAGTATGCCAGGGACCGGAATTAAGTCATATTCCGGCTCCTGGCATCTTTGCAGGGTGCGCGAGGGAGCAAAGCAGGGAGATGACAGCTCACTCCCCCAACTCCTCCGGGTCTATTCCACACAGCGCCCGCTGGTCCGTCTCTGCCATTCCTCAAGATGCACATGCGCTCTCCCACAGCCGGCTGGCCCGCCTCCGCTCTCCCACGGCCGGCTGGCCCGCCTCCGCTCTCCCACGGCCGGCTGGCCCGCCTCCGCTCTCCCACGGCCGGCTGGCCCGCCTCCGCTCTCCCACGGCCGGCTGGAACGCCTCCGCTCTCCCACGGCCGGCTGGAACGCCTCCGACATATTCCAGGCACAGGACAAAATTACTAGTCACCATGGTGACCTGGTGCCTGGGATTTGTCGAGCCCTGAGATACACATACACACACATACCGTGACACACACTGACACAAAGTGATGCCCGGACACGTACACTGACATACAGATACACACAGAAACATTGACGCACAGATACATACACTGGTATACAGATACACTGATATACAGATACACCGACACACACACACAAATGCTACCTTTTGGCTGACTGGGTCTGGTGGGAGTTGGCGTCCAGCTGCTCTCCTGGTCCACTCCTCCTGCCCAGCCCCTGCCCCCTCCTCTCCCACGCGGTGTGCTCTGTATGCGAGCTGGGAGGAAGTTGTTGCAAGCTTTTACTTCCTCCCAGCTCTGGCTGCAGGTAAAGAGGTCCAGAGCACTATTAATCCGCCGCAGTGCGCGACCGGACCCCTGAAGGCACATGTATATTGGGTGGCCCAAAGTGCGTGGGCCTCCCGATAGGCAGCGGTTCCCAGTCCGTGCGGCGGCCGGCACCGCCACCATCACACAATTTTATTTTGCGTACCCCCAGGGGCATTGAATTGTACGCATACCACGGGTTGGGAACCACTGTCCTAAAGAAAGAATTGGACAGTGAGACAGCAGGGGCATGCTCTATACACCAACACTGCTTCATTAAGTTAAAGTTGTTTTGGTCACTATAGTGTCCCTTTAAGCTCTTAACACTCTTGTGCAAAGTGCAAATTCAGAGTTTGAGTCCTATAACTAGTTTAGTGTTTGAATATTTTTTTATTTTATTTTTAAAATCCCATTAAATATGTAGGAAAAACTAAAATTCTGAGCTAAAAAAATGATCAGCCATGTATTAGGAAAAATCATATAATCCTGAATTGCAATTATTTCATAGGCACACAAATATCTATGTATTTACCCCAAACCAACTTTAATGCATTGATACAAAAGTTAAATGATTAAAATAATTTTGTTTGTATAAATTGTTGATACATTTTCAGAGAAGGAATGTTATATACTCCCAATTTCTTGTCGGCAATATTGTTTTGGACAGAAGGAAGCGCTGGCTGCACTCCGTATAATCCTTAATCTGAAGCCATCTGCTGAATTTAGACGTAACGGAGACTTGCTTGTCCAGACTCAGTGCAGACAGACATTTATAAGTTATGCATAAAATGATGTGCAATATAAAAACTGTATTGAAATTAGAGACGAAAGTTACCCAGAGCAATTCATCTCAATGAAATAGTCTGTGTACAGTAACTCTGTCCTCTTAGCCCTTTATAGAAACCACAATGGTTAAACACACCTCTCGCCGCACATGCGTTTTGGTTTCCAATTTGGATTGCCCATCAGCTCGAAATGAGGCAGAACAGCCGCCAGCACCAAGGGAGACTGCGCTGAAGGTAAGTAATAAGCTTATTTTTAGGTTTTTACTAAAACAAATCTGCAAAGAACATACTATAAAGAGCATTTAATGGAGAACATTACAGAAAGAAAGACAATCCCTCTACTAATTGTAGTAAAATCTAAAACTAGTGCAAAATAAATTTCAAACTTGCTTTATAAATCTCATATTATATTGGATCGCTAATTAAAGCAACTGTCACTTTGCAGGGTTTTTTTTCCCTTTTTTTTTAACACCTTTTTTATTTTTTTTATTTTAAAGTTATACATTAGAAGAAGAAAAAAGGGGAGACTTTTTCTCAAATTTTTGCAATGAGCAGAGCTTTAAAGGGGCCCTATAGGCACCCAGACCACTTTATCTCACCACCCAGTGGTCTGGGCGCAGTGTCCTTGTCCTCCTTAGTCCTGCAAGGTTTTATATTGCAGAGTTAAGACTGACTACTGGCTCTCTACTCTAGTGGCTTCCTGCTATTTCACAGAGTTTAACTCCTTGAAATGATGCTGGACATTCTCACACTTTGCATTAAGACATCCAGCGCCTTCAAATCCCCCATAGGAAAGATTTTTTTACATGCTTTCCTATTGGGAAGGTCTAATGTGCGCGCAATGCTCGGTTTCCCCTCGACGCGGACGCCGGAGGAGACAGAGGCAGAGTCAACGCCAAGGAATCTCAGCCCTGCAATAAGGTAAGGGAGAAAAGGGTTTTTAAACCTTTAACCGCCGCGGGGTGGGGACAGAGAAACTAGTTTTAGGAATACAGTTTTGTATTCCTAACACTACAGTGTTCTTTTAAATTAACTTTTCAAATTAAAATAATTTCTCTTATCTCTCCTGAGTATATATTAGATTAAACATGTATATTAAAAACGGTTATTGGATTTCTCCAAAGACTATGGTTACCTGATGCAAAATACACAATAATTTTTACACTACAAAGAGAAAAACTATTTGGGTTTTTATTTACTGAACAGAGAAATAAGATTACAGATTTCAGGTCAAAGTTCAACTCTCCAGTTTTAACCAAAATTTTGCAGTTCCCTTAAAGGACCACTATAGTGCCCCGCCAGGCTCTAGGGGGTGGAAGGAGTTAAATCTTACCTGTTTTCCCCGACCGGGCTCCCTCGGCGCGGGGAACTCTCCTCCTCCTTTTCGCCGTCATTGGCTGAATGCGCGGCAAGAGCCACGCGCGCATTCAGCCAGTCCATAGGAAAGCATTCTCGGAAGCGCCTCTAGCGACTCTCAATGAGACAGCCACTAGCGGCTGGATTAACCCATTTCTAAACATAGCAGTTTCCTTTTTTTGGAACACCTTTTTTATTTTTTTTATTTTTAAGTTATACAAATTTTCTCAAAGTTTCTCTGAAACTGCTATGTTTAAAGCAGAAAGGGTTAAACCTAGATGGACCTGGCACCCAGACCACTTCATTACGCTGAAGTGGTCTGGGTGCCTATAGTGGTCCTTTAACAAATCCCAACAATTCCCAATTTTCCAAAATAAATCCCAGTTTTGTTTAAGGGCCATACATCTATACATGCATGCAAATATATACAAGAACTTATAAACCTTAATAGATAAATACAACGTATGTGTACAGATGTCTACCGCCAAGACACAACAGGCTGCAGAAACAAATAGGCACGCATATTAAGTGTAACTGTTACTGCAAGGCTTGTCAGCCACCCAATCAGGAATCCCCCAGGGTGATCCAATTAAATTAGGACATCACTTGAAATGAAGGATTCTAAATCCATATGTCAGCCTTGTTGTCTCCGTAATACGTGAGGGGCTGTGAATAGCAAGCCCTGCTCCTGACACACAATCAGATCTTGTATACAATGAAACTGCAACACTTGCCACAATCTTTTATATCTTCAGATCCACTTTTTTCACAAAAGCAAATAAGTGATAGGCCTACGCATAATAGTTCTTCCTACACAGGTTTAACTGAAATTTGACAACCTTCATTTTTTTTATGCTCTGCCGTTCTAGAAAAACCAAAGGTGTTGAGTCTTTGCCTTAAAAAGGATCTCTCACCATTCCACATGTTCACCTAATGGGGTAGCAATCAAGTATGGATTTGCCTGATTAGCCGCTCATGATCAACCTCCTCCACTGATTTGGGGAAAGTTAATATATAATGGCACATTCTAAGACTCGTGTAAAAGAAAGATATGTGTACACAGTACAGCACAGGGATTTATATAACAAAGAGACATTTTGGAAGTATGGTAATAATTTGGAAATCCTAAACTCTTCAAACCAAGTGGAGTGGTCATGACTGCTTCTTACAGGTTACGGAGCAACACCTGGTACCTTTACCATGATACAGATTTCCCTGTAAAAGGAACACTCCAAGTGCATTGTAGTGGTTTTGGTACCAAAAGAGCCCTTGCGTCGCCCTCCCCCCCTATTTGTAAGTTTATCAAATAGTTTCTGCGGAGATGGGGAGTGGCACCCAGTGCTCCTCAATTTAGAAGTTAAACCGGTTTAAAATGATTTGACTGCTTACAATGGCGTGGGGCTCCAGGGTACTCCAGGAACCATAACCACTTCAGCACTTTAAAATTATTTAGATAACGGTCAAGCTTCAAGCCCTCTGTTATCACCATTTTGTTCCAGGGGCACTAAAGGCTCGCTATAAACACATTTAAAAAAAAAAAAAAGAAGAATAGGTTCACTAAAAATTTAAAAAGAAATCTAAGAATATAATAATTATAATATATGTATTAATCATCCTTCCAGATATATCTCCCCCGTGGCATCGAATGTGTGGGTGCCTGGAGTGTCCCTATATAAAGTGATTTTCTGGTACCATGCAGATGTTTACACACGTACATTACCGAGAAACATATGATTGTCAAGCACAAAAATGTACGGAGAGCTGTCCTGCGGTAAAGACCAGCATCCAAACAAAACAAATCGTAATTCTATGACTGGCTACAAACTTTCCGTTTCGTGCAAAACATCATGATTGTTCCCTGAAGTGTGCATTGTCAGGACTTCAAAGTAATTTCACATTTTGGCCAAAGTGGCCCAGTTGGAAAAATAAATATCCAAGTCAGCTATGTTTTCAATTTGGTTACTTAAAAATCCCGTTGAATTCACTTGGAAGTGCTGACAATTCTCACTTTTGTGTGTTTGTTTTTTTTTTTGGCCAAAATCTCTGTACGTGCTGCTGTTTAAGCAGAAAACGCTGCATGGACAGATTCCTACCACCATGGCCACTTTTAAAAGCAGAAGTGGTTATGGTGGTTGAAGTAACCCTTTAATCATTTTCAGGATTACTCTAGGCGGTATTAAATCCTACCTAAACCCACTTTCCCCACATTTCAGAGAACAATTTTATCACTCCCGTGTTTTTGATGGAATCGGACCCATGGTTGAGGTTAGAATCTTCTAAAGCTTACAGGCCCCTAATCAAGTCACTTCAATCTACCTAATTAATAACAACGTCCAGATCGCAGAATTGTAATTTTCCTCTGACCGGTAAAAAGTATCATTCCACAGCTACTATCTCCTTCCTTTCATATCACTTCAAAGACGGAATCATTACCGCCAGCCAGACGTCATTCTCTGAAAACTTCCCAGCGTTTGAAAACCGAGGTGGTGTAATTCATCCCACTCTATTTATTCGTTATATTTTAGATCTAAGACATTGTAATCAAGAGAGGCTTTAGGCCTCTGCGTTTAGATAAAAATTGAGAGCATTAGGAAAAGGAGCGTCAAAATTTCGACAGTGCAATAAAGACAAAATTCACAATTTCATACTCATTAATACAAGTTATATAATTGCAACAAAACACTCTTGTTCTCAACGGATTAAAACTCAAAATTACAGAGTGTGCCATTCCATGTGTTATTAGAAGCAATACCAAGCCTTTCCCAACCCATAACTACACTTGTCTTGATAACGGATTCAGCATTTACCATCAATCAGCTTCAAATATAAAGTTGCATTTGCAATACACATCTGCACACCTAAAACTACCTAAGATGTTGCAAGTTCTACCTTTCATGTTCCATCAAAAATTTAGGAGACATGAAATACAATTAAAAGAATACTCCGAAGCAATTTTCTTTTCTTTCTTTTTAATTTAAGCAATTTGTTAGATATACCCCCAATAAAAAAGCATGCATTAAATTGTGCCCTGTTAAAGCTGCAGATAACTTGTCTGAAGCCTTTACAAGTCCCTCCCCTTCTAACCCTGCCCAGACTTTCTGTGACTGTCCAATCACAGACTTCCCAATGCAGCTCAATGAGAAGTCTTTGCAAGCCAGGTGCTCTGAGCAATTGCTGCCTCTTGAGTTTAGCTCCACTAATCTTAACAAACCAGTAAGTACCAGAAGCAGTTGTTTGATTGACAGCCAGGGGGGGCGCAATTTATAAATGTGCATATTTCTTTTAAAATCTAAACTTTTTTGTAAAATTAAAAACAGAGGGCATACTCTTCGCACACAAAGCAGTTCAGCAAGCTAGAATGTTTAAAGGAAAAAAACAAAACTAGGAAGTGAAGACACCAATGTGAATACTATATTTTATTGTATAGTAATGTATAGTATACCCCATAGGGCATGGAGGGTCAACTATGTCCTCAGTTATTTCTCAGGCCCCCATCAGCCTTTCCTAGTGGCTGCCCATTTGCTAGTTTAACTGCTTAGTAGACATGCCTCAACCTTATGGATCCCCATAGAATTGATTTATATATTTTATTTTTTTTTTTACTTTTTCCATGTAGAAGCTGGCTAACCAGCTTCAACATACTTAAACCTTGCGCTGAGTGTCTAATTATTTGCTGCTAGCGCAGTCAGCAGGCAAATTGTTCTACAAATTATTTACTTGCAAATAGCCGGTGAATTTTAATTTGCAATTCCGGTGCTGTAGATTGGTTCGGATGAGTTCGGAAAAACAGTGATTTCCTCATCCAAACCAAAGTTACAGAATCGGTACGGCCGACTGAATTTTGATTGCATTTGACATTACTAAATATAGGAATTGCCAATGCGATCAGAATTCCGACCAGGCAGTTCTGTGCAGGGAATTAAGCAGGAGCCCAACGATCGGCTTCTATCTCAGACTTGCCGAAGATGTATGAACACGGCAGAGTGTCTAGTGTTCTGTGAAAGTAGGGGCCAAACATGTATTCCTGACCCTATAGTGTTAAAAATCAATATCTTGCCCCTGTGGCCCTCCAACAATATAGTAAAATCTTACCTTTACTCCAGTCTGCTGGTACTGGCTCTCTCCCTGATCTGCCTCCTTGGGTGATCACATCAGAAGTGACGATCTCACCCAATCTCAATGCTTTCCCACAGGAAAGCATTGGACTGGCTGAGATCGTCAATTCTGATGATCTCAGCCAAAGACGCGGGCTGAGAGGTGAAGCCAAATGCCGGCCCAGGCCAATCAGCATCTCCTCATAGAGATGAATTCAATCATTACATCTCTATGAGGAAAGTTCCACCCTCTGCTTGGAGACACTGAACCTCTAGCAGCCATCTGAGGAGGGCCACTGGAGGTGTCCATAGGCAGTCATGTAAACACTGCCTTTTTCTGAAAAAGATAGTGCTTACTGCAAGATACCGGCAGGGACTGACTATACTCACCAGAACAAATACAATAAGCTGTAGTTGTTCTGGTGACTATAGTGTGCCTTTAAAAAAAAATGCCACATCTTTTCATTATATGCTGCAAATATTTATTTTTTTTTCTGCTGACCTTTAAACAACTAGGATAGCATGGGTTCGGTATTCTTGGTTTGTTAGGGCTCTGGGCCCTGTTGCAAATGCATCTTGTGGTTCCTAATGTTACTGTGTATTTTTAAATCAAGCACAGATGGGCATCTTTATTTATATAAATTCGATATGGCATCTCCTAAAATGCTGACGTTACATCCCCCCCGCTGCTTTATTTAATGCCAAAGATAACTCATTTTGCATCGTTTTAACGTAATCCTAATTATTTCAGAATGCACATCCAGGTGGCACCCGTAAACTTTATAAATCTTTCATGGCTCCACATCAGCAGATTAGCAGGAGGAATAAAAGGAAAGCCTTTAGAAAATGCTAGCCTGGATATTGGAAGTAAAACCGTTTAAGAGCCAGAGAAAGCATAAACGAACAAATATTCCCTAAACTAGTTTCTTGCTTTCAAGATTCACTATAAGGGACAACCATAATTTGGAGTGCCAAACCACTCATCTAATACGAACGAACGCACACACACAGACACACACGATTGTGATCTGTCTTGTTGAACTCCCATTTTCTTTAGCCAGCCTGCAGCATTGAAAAAATTAGAGGGACTTCTAGCTTTTAAATCCTTTTCTAAGCCCCTTTAAGTTCATAACTCATTACCTATGTCAATTGTAACGACTTTAAGAGGCAGCAAACACTAGGCGTAGTTTAGCTCACCACACACAGATTATCACTGCCAGCTAAATTTCTCATTAATTTAGTGGCTGCCGAGAGGTCTTCGAGTATTGGCAAATAAATGTGCTTATGTCAAAAAAATTATTTTAAAAAATTCTTAAAATGTAACACTTTTTTTTTTTTTTTTTAATTGTTGTGTTGGTCCGTACACTTTGCTTGGCTTCACACCATAAGGGGTTGGAAGGGATAGGATTAATAACATGGAGGAGTGACTTATTACACTTTTAAAGACAGATTGAAGTAAGCAATTAAGTTTGTAAGGTCCCAGAATTAAAAAAAAAAGATGGCTGGACATCGGGATATATTTTCAGAGCATATTTTTCAGAAATTCGGGATATAAGCCAATTCCCTTGTTTATATGTTTTTTTAATACAGTTTTATCAGCACTCTGAGCATGCTTTCCTGACATCAGCATAATCTGTTATTTTTTAAGAGAGAGACCAGACAAAATAGAAGCTGATCCCTATTCCTTTATTTCACTGTGCATAGTTTTCAACCTATTTAAACAGCTGCTAGATTACAAGTCTGCTACACAATATATTGGGGTTGAAACCCTGATCCGTACATCATGCAACAACTGTTCAAAGGAGAAAAAAATCTATATAAAAAATAAAATAAAAGCCTGTTACAGTCAGAAGTCTTTTGTTTTCACCCCACAGTCCCTCCAATGTCTTATCTCAACGATTCACCTTTTATTGGTGAAAACAGAGCATTAAAAGCCTTCTGTTTGTGCGAGAGAAAAACCTTAACTATGTTCCCAGGTGCCACAATTGTAGAACACAAAACATTCAAAGCCTTTTTGTCTACTTTCGTATGTTCTGACTATAATCCTTTTATATTTTTTTGTTTGGACCAAAAATCCCAAGTCATAGCTCTACCTCCCTTTCAAAAGTGTCTCACTTGAGAAGATAATGTCAAGTTACGTACGGTTTGCGGCTTGTAATGGTATTTATTAATTAATGACTTTTTGTCATAAAAAAAAAGCATAATGAGCTTAATGCTTTAGACGCACCACTAGATGTCAGTAAAGCATATTTAGTGTAATGCTTTGGGGGCACCACTAGGGGGAGTGTGTAGGAAGACCTGTGCTTCTGGCAGTGACATCACAGGCCAGCCTACTTACACTGAATAAAACCCAGATGTTAGGAGAAGCAAGCTCTGTTTGCCTGTACCTGACTGATCATGTAGCACCAGCTCTGACTTAGCCCCAGCCCTTTGGCTGGGGCCTTGTAAGTAATATGTTTGTATTGTAACAGTTAGCAATTGTAATAGCCTTAGCAACCAATAGTGTTTTGTGTAGTATTGTATTGTATAATTATTGAAATTGACATTCCGCTAGCATCTGTTTATTTATTATAGTTATATTAAATATACATTTAATATTACAACGTTTTGTGTATTTTCTATCCACATATTCGACCATAATACCATGAATTATAAAAATATTAATGTTGTTCCGTATTGCTTAATTATTATGTATTAAGAGATTAATATTCATATTTAGGTCACACCACAACATTTGGCGTAGTCGGCAGGATTATGCTTGAATATTGGGGAAAATATAAATGTTATGCATTTTGCTTAAATCATACTGTAAATTGTCTGTCTGTATACAAATGAATAAATGAATGATGATTTGGTTTTAATGGAATGAATGCAGATAGCAAATAGGGATTAGATATTTGTTTTTTAAGGTATCTCTTGTTGTAGAACATAGTGATGAATTATTGTGTTGCTTGTTACGTTTTACCAACCTTTGGTCATTTTTATATATAAAACAAAAAACTATTTTACTTTTTGTCTGACCATGTGGATTTTAATCCACCATTGACCACATGGTGTGAATGAGTTGAGGCCTAGTTTCATTGTTTGTTTTCATTTGCATAGGAAAAGACTTTTCACTAAACTAGTTCACCAGGTTTTATTGCTAAATTTGACCCTGTTTGTGTACTAATTTACATTTGTTTGGTATTCATGGATTTGTCTAGTTGAAAAGAGATTTGGACAAAATGTATTAAATTAGTAGTTAAGAAAAAGATATGTTTAGTAAAGCAGATTCAGTGAATAATAGATTTATGTGTGCGTATACACAGAATATTAGTATAAATATATATGATTTTGACTCATGAAGGAGAGACCACCTTTTTAACAGCTGTGTGACCATGCTTTTCAGCTACAGCTGGGGGAGAATTTGTCCTTGTTGGGGGTGGGTAGTCTTGCCTGTATGAGAAAAAATAAACTGCATTGTTTTGTAAATGTAATTGCCTAAGCTAATCAATTTGTGGAGTGTTTTTCAGCTTTATTATCCAGGACTAAGGAATTACTGGACATATGCAGGAACTGGTAACAAATGAACTGAAAAAATGGTAAAATAATTCCTTTGTCCTATTTAGTCTGAATATTTTAACAAGTTAGCATTTTTAACAAAGTAAGTGTAGGGGCTCAGATTAAGATTTATATTATTTTAGAAGCCATCTATAACTGATTTTAATATTTCCATGCTTTGAATTAGGGTGTATCTGCCTAGCGGGTGAACCTCCATAACGTGGGCTGTGATTTTAGTTACAGTAGCGGGTGGGGAACCTGAGCTAGGGGGTATTTAAACGTGTCCGGATAAGGGGGAGCATACCCAATAGTTGTTGTGCAGTTCTATCCTGTATTATTATTTGAAACCCTGTATTACTTATAAGTAGCGTTTTGTAACTTATTTGTAATTGTTTATATATATTGCTCTGGGAAAGGGATAGGCAAAATCTCTGAGAGACCAGGAAATATATTTTAAAAAAAGGGCGTATTACACTAGTGGTAGGGTGGCCTATCATGACCATAGAGACCCTTGGTGACTAGTTTTTGTTGTATATTGCCCTGGGAAGGGGATACGCTATTTAATAGAAATTCCTGAGAGACCAGGAAATATACAATAAGTGATACGTGAGTGTACTGGTTAAATTGCAGACATATTGGCCCAGAACCTTTAATCGAGCCGGAAAAGAGGCTGCTGTATGTTTGCTCCTCTATAATTTTGCGGGGGCGGTCACCCCCATGCGGAAAGCCACTGCCATCACAGGGTGGTTAGTTGTGCAGGCCCTTAGCCGCGAGGTGCAAGCATGTCCGTGGAAAGGCTAGAAATTAATAGGGAGTCACTCATAGCTGTCAGAAGTGTTGAACTTTGAGACATATTGACCTATATCCTTTCAGAGGCGGAAGAGGTGTTGTGGTTCACTCCTCTATAATTTAACCAAAGGGTGGAGAGTTATTAAACATGTTTAGGTTGGCTAGAAATGTGTTTCCTGAATTGCAGAGAAGATGCAGAAAGCAGCTATTAGCTGATTGTTTATTTTAAGAGCCAAGTAGAAAATTAAGAAAGTTACCTTGTTGAACAAATTGTTTATAAAATGAAAAGTTTAGGGAATGTATTTATATATATATGCTAAGTAAAAGATTTTGCAGTATACGCTATAAGTGACTAGGAAAAGTAATCCTGATCTGTTTTCTTACCTTTTTCAGATGTAGCAGAAACCAGGGGTGGACATTGGAACACAGATAGAATATCAGATGGAGACCAGTGTTTAAATGTTGACCTATGATTAGCTATTGAATGTGTTTTATTTTATTGTGTCTATTTAACATGTCTATGCTATGATTTTGTGCATACTGTTCTCTTATTTCTAGTGATTGTATTGCAATTGAAACCCTTATGTATTATTATTGTTGTATGTATGTATGCTTGCCTGGGAAAGGGGGGGATTGACCCATAGGGACCAGGGGGTATTTTTGTGTAAACCAAACTGGGGTGGGAGGGCTCTAACAAGGGAACCCCATTGTCCAGTAGGTGCTTGATTTGTGTCTGTGTAAAGTGCATGAGTGGTTGCAGTTCAAAAAACAAAACAAAAAAAAAAAAAATAAGAGGGAGAAGAGAAAGTAGGCATTTTGGGTTATCTATACATGTTTAAATAGAAGGGTGGTAAATAGGAATGTAATTGTTTTGGTTAATGTTTAGATTAAATTGGTAAATGCAGCAGTAATAACTAGTGTTTGGGTTAAATTGGTAGATACAGCAGTGATATTGTGTTTATCTGTGAATCAGGAGTGTGCTGGATGTGAAGAGAGGTGTGTAGGTATTTATCCAAACGCCATAGGAAAAAATATGGTTAAGACACCACAGTCAAATGGTACTTGTGATGATTGGCACAGTTATTATTTATGTTTGTGTTCGTCATTGCCTGTGTTTTCATTCAAGAACTTTCAAGCAAGGATATTTTAAGCAGAAGAAGAAGCACTGGACACTATGCTCAACTGTTGCTGTAAGGAGAAAAAATATTGCAGCTAAGAGTGGTGAGAGTCGGAACAAATGCATCAGGAGCAGGACACTGTTACGTCAAGGTGGTTAATGGTATAAAGAAAGAAAAAAAAAAAAACAATGTGACCACAAACACACAAAAGTCCTTGATCACATGAACTGTTTCATTCATCCCTGTCTCCATGCGTATGTTCTATGAGACTGTCGAAGAATAGAGTATCCAGTTTCCAGGACTAATGTTTGTGAAAATTCCAGGCACACAGACCAACCAGAGGCTACAGAAATCGAGTCGGTCTGTGCCATGATTCATAGGTGTTATGAGTTTGTGGTGTCTAATACTATATTAAGCTCCAAAACACATCCTCACATGAACACAATATCATTGATTAATCTAATAAAACATGGTTTGAGTTGTCTATTATTACAAGGGTGGGTATTTGCCTATTTAAGGCCAAGGTTTCCCAACTGCTAATGCATGTGCTCAGTGGTTATTATAAGGGTGGGTAAGTGCTTATTTTAGGCCAAGGTTTCCCAACTGGTGATGCATGTGCTCAATGAAAAAAAATAAAAAAATTGAATAAGCAATAAAGTGTCATAACTTTACGGGTAAATGGGTATCATTCTTCAAAAGGTGGGTTTTGTTGTAGGGCAGGTACTGTTAAAATAGGGTAGATTCAAGATGTACGGGTTTATAATGTTTGTTTTATGACATAAGTCAAAGGGTGGTTTGTAATGGTATTTATTAATTAATGACTTTTTGTCATAAAAAAAAAAAGCATAATGAGCTTAATGCTTTAGACGCACCACTAGATGTCAGTAAAGCATATTTAGTGTAATGCTTTGGGGGCACCACTAGGGGGAGTGTGTAGGAAGACCTGTGCTTCTGGCAGTGACATCACAGGCCAGCCTACTTACACTGAATAAAACACAGATGTTAGGAGAAGCAAGCTCTCTCGGTTTGCCTGTACCTGACTGATCATGTAGCACCAGCTCTGACTTAGCCCCAGCCCTTTGGCTGGGGCCTTGTAAGTAATATGTTTGTATTGTAACAGTTAGCAACTGTAATAGCCTTAGCAACCAATAGTGTTTTGTGTAGTATTGTATTGTATAATTATTGAAATTGACATTCCGCTAGCATCTGTTTATTTATTATAGTTATATTAAATATACATTTAATATTACAACGTTTTGTGTATTTTCTATCCACATATTCGACTATAATACCATGAATTATAAAAATATTAATGTTGTTCCGTATTGCTTAATTATTATGTATTAAGAGATTAATATTCATATTTAGGTCACACCACAACACGGCTAGATACATTTTATAAATTAAAGTGCAACATAGCTATCCAAAGCTTCACAAAAAAATAAGGATTAGTGATCAAATTTGAAGTATTTGTACATCATTTGCTGGTCCTATAGGTCCGGTGCTGTACCAGTACATTATTTATTGAAACTTACTCTACAGTCGAGATCACAGCACAATTGCCGTGATGCTCTGCAGCGGCGCAACATTGTTGAAGTTGCCTATGCGTTTTTTGGTACCTGCCTCTGACACTGAATCGAATTTTGACGCAGGTCAATTTGAGGAATCTAGAGATGACTGAGTCTCCATCAGAGATTTGTGAACCCCAAATCAACCCTTGCTACCCCACTTCTGCCACCAGTAGACTCAGATGACAGCAATAAGTAGATGCAACATAGCACCACTGAACCAAACATCCCCTCATTCACGGCTTGTCCAGGCATTAATACAGATGTGGAGAGATATCCGCATCAAGTACTTGAAACGGTTCATAGGGAGTGAGATTTCAGGGGAGGAAGTCTCCCAAATTAGCATATATGCAGCACAAAGCCTTGCTTCTAAACCCAGGAGTTCTATAACCAATTAGTAATCCTGGCAGCCCATCATTATATGTAAATTATATCCCCTGTCATTGACAATGGGGATAATAAAGAAGCTCACATTACATTCTTATTGGATCATAATAAAAAAAATCAATAAAAAAAAATCACAGTAGTCAAGATTTAAAAATTGACCGTTTCAGTAACCAAAAGGAGTTTCAGTCAAAAGAATTCTCCAGAACTTCTACAGGGTCAAAAGTAACATAACTCAACGAGGGAGGCTGCTCATCCAAAAAGAACCATCAAATGACACTCAAAATAGAAATCGCGGCAGAAGGTGGATGGGATGAGGGAGGAGGAAACACAAAAGAAGAGTGAAAGGAATTAAGAATGGCAGCTTCAATGCATCAGTAATCTAATTAACTCATCCCACTAAGCGCAGCAATTATTCTATTAAGGGGATATTTGCCTATTCTCGAGTCTGCCATGTTCACGTCAACTTACAATGCTAAGGCAATCTGTAAGGATGAGGAGCTGTCTGGCACAATTAATGGGGCTGGGTGAGGGTGTATAATTATCATTACTCAAGGGACAAACAATTCTAGTAATGTTCCCTGTGTTTTGGAGTTGTGGTCCTTGAGTGCTCCGATCTCAAAATTATGCATAACACCATTATTTATATTTAGTGATTGATAAATTTAGGAAGCGAAGGTGGGAGGTTGCAGAAGTAACCTATACAATAACTGGGTTTAGGCTTGAGAAAGACCAAACACGAGTTTGAAACCAATAATATTTATGCAACTAAATCTGGAGGAATACAAATCCTGTTTTCCTTGCATTTTACGGGGAAGCTGAAGGATCGAAGTACATGTTCAACCGTGTGCTTTAATATTGGGGTATAGGCAAACATCACTTTATGGTGATTTCTCCAGTAAAGGCATCTTCCCAAGACTGGAAAATCTACAGAAGACAAATGAGGACCATCTGGTCTGAAAACAAGGAAGTCTTATAATGGAAACTATAGTGCCAGAAAAACACAGTTATTTTCCTGGCACTATAGCTCCCTATAGTGCCCCACTATATGGTGGTCCCTTACCTGCGGTGAACATGCTCGCATTAGGATTTCCCCATAAGAAAGCATTATACAATGCTTTCCTATTGGGGTTTGGGTGACGCCGAACGTCCCCATGCATAGTGTGAGGGCGTCTAGTGCAGTTAGGCGCCAATGACCCGGAAGACCTTCTATCTAATGGCTGTATGGTAGGGAAGACAGCCACTAGAGGTGGAGTTAACCATGGCAGGTAATAATGGCAGTTTCTTAAAAACTGCAAAAATTACCTTTGCAGGGTTACGTGACCTGGGACAGTGCATCCAGACCACTTCAATGAGCTGAAGTGGTCTTGGTACCTATGGTATCCCTTTAGGTTGTTTAAGGCACCCAGACAACTGCATTAAGATAAAATGGTCTGTGTGCAGTGCCCCTGTCATTATAACCCTACAGTGTATAACATTGCTGTTTTGAAAGGAATGGCAATGTTTCTATTGCAGGGTTAAATATACCTCTAGTGGATGTCTTCCCGGCAGCCACTAAAAGTGCTTCCCTTGTGAGAACAGAGTCTAACTAAGTTCTCAGTCAAATGTTGTTCACAAATGTTGTTCACAGAGAGCATTTGATTGGCAGATTACAGTGATTCGCAATGCATGCGCATTAGCCTCCAAATGCTTCAACCGAGATAGCCTTGGATTGGCTGAGATCATCAGCACTGATCATCTCAGCCAAGGAGATTGGGTGATCACGGTGAGACGATTACACTGAGATATAAAAACTTTAACCTGTGCAGTGGTGGGGGCAATTATCCACCTAGCAAGTAGAACACTATAGCGTTAGGTGTACACGTTAGTATTCTAATGCTGTAACAATCCATAGGATATTTTAAATCTGCATGGTATGGAAGGACTATGAAAACGTATAGATCAACACTTATCTAAAATGTGTCAAACAACCAATATTTAAAGGTTGTGGCTTGCAACAGTTGTGATTTGAAGAATAAGTCACTGTTTCACTAAGACCATCCCTCAGAGCTGTCATTCACACAGCTGAAATTCTTCGTTCCAACTGCCGGATAAAAGTTTTGTTCAAGCTGTGCATGTGGCATATGAGATGCTCAAATTGGGCTAGCTCCCTGGTTTCATGAAAGCCTGTGCTAAAGAAATAAATAATTGTTGCACTAGAGAGCTGCCCTCACATACACATAAGTAGTCCACTGTCTGTGTTCTATATATTCCATAATGCTCAGCAGGTCAGAAAAAAAAAAGTCACAATCATTGTAGACCACAAAAAAAAAGTATAAATCGCATGTGACAACATCATTGTGCAATGACTAACCCAATGTAATAGCTCTAGACTCCACTAATCTTTTTCCTCTTTCCCCCCACCCAAAAAAACCAAAAAACAGGTCAGACGTGTTACGTTATATACTTCTGACGCTCTACTTAATCTTAACACTATTCCACATTACACGGTCTTGATTGTGACAGCTGATTCCTGCTCTACTAGAAAGATCATCCCAGCTAGCTGCGTATATAAAGAGATAGCCAAAGATGAAAAAGAAAACGGTTGTGTGTTACATCAAAAGAACACAAATATTCAACAACACACTGGGATCCTGTTATCTTTGCCATTTTCATTCTCTCTCCATCCGGAAAAAAATAAACATTCCTGGCTGTCAGAAAACTGAACGCTACAGAGATATAGAACAAAATTGCTCACAAAATAAAAATCGGATGTTGGACAATTCCACAGCCCTACCAATATCTGTGGGCAAGATGATGGGGAATAAATTCTTGGCCGTTTGTGCATGAGCAGGCAAATGACAGATCACCAAGAGGATGCACAGGGCGGATACAAGAAGCCCAATGGATGCAAAGGGGGATACAAGTGAGCCCAGGTGGACAGAGTGAGTCCAGAGGATGCACAGGGGAGACAGAGTGAGTCCAGAGGATGCACAGGGGGGACAGAGTGAGTCCAGAGGATGCACAGGGGAGACAGAGTGAGTCCAGAGGATGCACAGGGGAGACAGAGTGAGTCCAGAGGATGCACAGGGGAGACAGAATGAGTCCAGAGGATGCACAGGGGAGACAGAGTGAGTCCAGAGGATGCACAGGGGAGACAGAGTGAGTCCAGAGGATGCACAGGGGAGACAGAGTGAGTCCAGAGGATGCACAGGGGAGACAGAGTGAGTCCAGAGGATGCACAGGGGAGACAGAGTGAGTCCAGAGGATGCACAGGGGAGACAGAGTGAGTCCAGAGGATGCACAGGGGAGACAGAGTGAGTCCAGAGGATGCACAGGGGAGACAGAGTGAGTCCAGAGGATGCACAGGGGAGACAGAGTGAGTCCAGAGGATGCACAGGGGAGACAGAGTGAGTCCAGAGGATGCACAGGGGAGACAGAGTGAGTCCAGAGGATGCACAGGGGAGACAGAGTGAGTCCAGAGGATGCACAGGGGAGACAGAGTGAGTCCAGAGGATGCACAGGGGAGACAGAGTGAGTCCAGAGGATGCACAGGGGAGACAGAGTGAGTCCAGAGGATGCACAGGGGAGACAGAGGGAGCCCAGGTGCTGAGGAACAGAGCAGACAGACAGACATTTGTCGATGTGCAGTGAAGAGAAGATTATATGCAATTAAGAAAAATAGATCAAGTCAACTATAATTTTACCACATGACAGGAGGCTTCATATTTGCATATCTTTCTTTACTGAAAACTCCAGCAGCATAGAAACATAACAACCAATCAGAAAAAGTTATGATGCCCATAAAAGGCCCTTGTCTATGACATCACTTCCTCTTTCTTTGCTGCTCCAGCCATACATCAGGTCAGAGTATTTTACCTCTCTGGTAGATTCTTAATTTACACAGTTTTTTGATTGTCATACCACTCTATATTACTCTATTTATTGCTAACACCTGCTACCTTGGCCCCCCTTATTCCTGTCCCTTCACTGTATCCCTCTATTTTTTCCCCCTTTTTATTTCCACCTTACTGCCTGGTATCCGCGGGCGCAACGACTACCCGTGTCGCGCTCGCCTCGCGGACCGGCCCTTTCACTTACACAGGGGACTGTATGGGGACGGGTGGAGGGAGGCTGGGGTCAGCGTTTGTGTTGCATTTATCCCCTTTGTTTTGCACCGCGCGACCGCGATCCGCGGCGCACCTTCACATGTGGGCGGCGGCCATCTTGGATCTCGCGGCTCGCGAGATACCCGACGGCCGCCTTCCCTGCTCGCTCGGCGGATCGGGAACTCACCCGACCGCCGGGCTCCACAAGTGTATGCTCTCCCAAGTGAACAATGGGAGAGTGCAAGCTGGATTTCAGTTTTTTCTCCATGTATTCTTTCGATGTATTTTGCCACAGTGCCAACAGTGTCTGCCAAACAAATACTTACATGCAGGCATTAAAGGAGATTATGTCTTTGTACCTTACTCAGGGTCTATACCCTATACAGGGTCATACCATATTACTATACCCTGCACAGGGTCATACTATATTACTATACCCTACAGGAATCACCCGATCACCGCGCCCTGCATCTGGATTAACCCCTTCAGGGGTCCCCCTCTCTGGGCACATTCATTTATTGATACAATTATTATTTTTTATTCTCATGGATATATCTCTCATGGTGCCTTACGCTGGATGATTATATGTTGAGCAGGCACACAATCTATGTATTATTGTGAAGCCATACAATATCACAGTCGTTATACAAAACATATACTGTACCTATAACAAGATCAATTATATCACTGTACCCTACGAAGAGCATATTGTGTTACTGTACCCTACAAAGGGCATATTATATTATATTATTGTACCCTACAGAGGGTCATATTATATTACTGTACCTGACGGTGCAAATTTATGTGGGTGTCCTCTGGGTATTTTTTCATGGCACACCACCTGGGGTGACCCCCCAGATATGCATGCAAGGTCACTGACAGACCATTACCTTTGATGTGGGTGTCCTCTGGGTTACCATGGCACACCACCCGGGGTGAACCCCGATCATATGCACGGAGGCCTACGCCTCAACTTTACCACTGATTACTACAGACATATATGGATGTTTAACCCCTTAAGGACCAAACTTTTGGAATAAAAGGGAATCATGACATGTCACACATGTCATGTGTCCTTAAGGGGTTAAACACTGCCTGTCAGTTTTACATTAAAGCAACAGTACCATGCCGGATGCGATTTGACGGCAGGATCACTAAGAAAACTGAGTGTATTGCGGTGTACCCTTCACAGGGATACATATATGTATATTTACTGTGCCTAGTGTACATATTGAACGTGGGTGTCCTCTGGGTAATTTTTCATGGCACACCACCTGGGATGACCCCCAGATATGCATGCAATGCTTGTAAGGTGCCAATAATTATAATATGGGTGTCCTCTGGGTTACCATGGCACACCACCTGGGATGCACCCAGCCTAATAGACATGGGTCCTGCGGCTGCAGACCTTATGGAGACAGGCCCCATGCGCCTATATAATAAGCCTGTATAGTTAAAAACCGTGCATACAGCTCTGGCGTACATTTGTGGTGAACCCGGCTAGCCAGACCGACACCACTACCAGTCAGTCGCGCCTGCACCACGGCTCTCAGTAGCCAGATTAAACTAATAGAGGTGACCCCTCTACACTTGGCACGAGTATTCATACATACTAAAGCAGGCAATTCAAACCGGTTTACCTGGGTGATCCCCAGTTCTACCAGAAGTCTAACAACCCTACGTGCTGACCCTCACACTATCTCCCAACAGGACGGGAACGAGTCATGGTGGACACTCTCAACGTTCCCAAGATTTCTAGGCAATGATAAACGCCACAGTAACGGCCTCAGTGGAGAAGGTTCTGTTATGAACTCTACCCACACCGCTTGATGGAGACCTCAGGCCCACAAGCCTTCAAGTCAAAACGGCAAGGGAAGGGCTCCAGCCCCCCTGCCACTAAGGTCAAGGGCAAGACGCCCATCGAACAGACCAAATAGGCGGAGCACCGGGAATCCAAACCCCGTCCGCCACAATCTTCCGACAAAGAAGACTATTACCCACCACGTACTTTGGACATGGTAGATGAGCGACACGAAGACAGCTCACCGTCTGAGGAAATGGAACGGCAAGACCTTCCCCACACTTCCTCGAAGTACGTTAGGGAAACCTTACTCTGTGACGGCGGCTGAGGCAGAGATAACTGTAGCGGCACTAAACCAGAGTAGCCGAAGACGGAACGTTCCTGGACGAACACTATTGGCTGCGCAACCCTCGGGGGATGGAAGGATGCGCACGCCTCAAGACCGAGTTACCCCAGGGTACACAACTCAACCCTACCACCTCCAAAGAATGGTCTCAATGCTCGATATGCCTCCTGGGCAACGTAAATGACGCACTATGCGCCGACAGACGCAAATCTGTACTGGGCCGCATCGACAACACACTATTGGACTTAGGAACGACAAGAATTTGGCCCAAAAGCACAAGGCCTACTATTCGACGTAGTGTTCATTGCAGTACTCAAGAAACACGTGAATTTATTCACCACACTAAATTAAACCCAGACCTCGCTAAAACAAGTCTTCCACAACCCTACGGGGAAAGGTGTTTCTGGGAGGACTGGTCGGTAGCTGAACCGAGCCACCAGCCGCTTCTGGGCGACAGGTTCCAGATCGTATACACAGTCCTCATATTTCTCCCATCTACTACACAAAGGAACCCATCCGCTTCATCTACTAGTGTGTCAACCTACATAACTAACTGTTTCCAATATTATGACCGGCAACCTGTCTCTGTTTTACAGAATTGGGAGATGACTACCAAAGTCACCTGGGTTCTCCAGACAGTACAAGGCTATGTCATAGAGTTTTATCACAGCCGTGCAGGTCACCCCTTCACCTCCATTACGCACGCTGGCGGAACAGGAACGCCTCGTGGACAAGAAAATCTGCACCCTCTTCAGGAGGGGCGCAATTCAACATGCACCGGAGGGGAAGGCTTCCCCAGCAAATTTTTCCTGGTCAAGAAGAAGCCAGGAGACTACATCAATGGAACTCCTACATGGTATACAAATGCTGCAAGATGGAGGAAATTCGTCTTCTACAAGACCTCCTAGGCGATAACGACTGGTTTACACATCTGGACCTCAAGGACGCACGCTTGTCAGTACCCGTTGCCCTGGACTGCCGAAGTTTTCCTCCGATTCCAATGGTGAGGACAAACACGGCAGTTTACGACTCCGTGGTGCTCGCGAACCTACTGTAACCAGTGAGGGCACACATCCGTAAATTTGGGCGTGCGATGCCTCGTATACCTGGAAGACTTGCTGATTCTTTACGAATCCAGGCTACGTTTGCAGACAAATTTGTCGTTCACTTTCGGGACTCCATGGGTTTTTTGTTGTACACAGACAAAGATCGCTTCTTCATCTGAATCGAGCCAGTTCCTCGGTTTCGACATCGGCTTGGAGAACTACGTTCCGCGTCCGTCTACGGCAAAGAGCGCCTCTATAAGGATAGCTGTTGGATTGTGGGATTCCTCTCCTCCTCTCCTCCTCCATACAAGCGTTATTCCCTGGCCCACTATGACTGATGGTGAGATACGTATGCACCGGTCACTCATACGACCACTGGATCCCACTGTCAGCGGAAGTGAGGATGGAATTTCGATGGTGATTACTTCACATACAAACTTGGATTGGCAAAACGATCTTTGACTCTTCCTTCGGATACGGGGCGATGGATGAACCCCTGCAAACGCGACCCAGCCGTTCTCCACAATAGCAAGGGTGCTTCGATACACACACACACCCACAAGATATCGCTCCTGCTCATGACACCCCTCGGGCAGGGCCAACCGTGATTTCCCGGATCGCCTGGAGATGTCTCGCGAAGACCCTCTACTACTCCCTACCTTCCCTCTACTTCTGACGGGACCTCGAGGGGAAGCCCACTCCCTTGTCATGGAAGGACAACTGGCACTAGTTGCCTGGACGGCTTCAGGGGCTCCTGGTCAGTTCATGACCTATTGCATCAACTAAGACCTCCTATGGGACTCATAGGCTCCCGGCACCAGGAAAGGCTATATTTCTGCCTGGTCGGCCTGGAGTGATTGGTGTGTGGAAAGGGATTCCGATCCCTTTACCGCACCTGTCCCACTGATCCTCAACTATCTGTCACACCTGGTCTCGTTGGGTCGGTCATATCGATCCCTCAAATATTCACGCCTCTGGCAGGTGGATGTGGTGCTGAGATTCTTTAGGGAATGGCCGGACAATCCTTGTTTGTCACTGAAGCAACTTTCAGCCAAACTAGCCCTCTTATTATGCCTCGCCTCATTTAGACGGTGGCGGACGTTAGGGCTTGCGATATGGATGGTTTCTCTCTCACACCAGACGGGGTTACCTTTACCATGTCGAGACGAACTAAGTCTGATTCGTCTTCAGTGTCATACCCATGCTTTGTGTCAGACGCCACACTATGCGTGGTCAGAACGCTAATGGGGTACACCAATATCTCTACCCCCTTCGAACTCATTCGACGGATCACCTTCTGACTTCTTACGTGAACCCTCATGGACCGGTGTCTACCGCAACACTGGCCAGATGGGTCCGCTGGTTTTTGTCTTTAGCGTCGAACCTTGTTTCGGAGCCCACTCGGTCAGGGGAGCGGCGGCCTCACAAAGCTTTTCGGCCGACGCTTCCCTAGCCGACATTACACGCTGCACGGACTGAGCGCGAGAGAGTACGTTTAGAACGTTCTATTTTCGGCAAACATCTCATGCTTCCTTCACATTGGTCAATTCAAAGCTTTAAAAATGCAAATATGAAGCCTCCTGTCATGTGGTAAAATTGAAGATTATATTAGCTTTAGTGTACTAATAATCTTAATTTTAGTAATGACAGGAGGCGAATATTTCCCACCCTATAGGATCCCTCCCATGTTTCTCTTGTTGAACAGAATATGTCCTTTATGTTCAGGAAGGTAAGTATGTATGGTTTGTATGTTTGCTACTTAGACCTGTATCTTGTGGGTCTTGTATTGGCTGAATATTAGACATGAACCTTGCATTATGTTGTGTTTATAGATTCTTAAATATCATTGCGTTAGAATAAATATATATTGATATGTTTCACATTCTAATGTTCGTTGGTATATCAGATGCTTAATGCTTATTGTATGCGGACAAGTTATCACGCCAGATACCTTTCACCTTTTTCTTTTTCTTGCAGCGTGAACGTCTTCTCATCGAGACAAAGATTCACCTTCCATACCTCTGCATCGCAGAACTAATGGAGTTGGATATTCTAATATGTTGTTGAACTGTTGACGTAATATGATTATGTCTCTTGTTGTTATTTATTGTTTCGCTTCAAAGAAAGAGGAAGTGATGTCATAGACAGGGCCTTTTATGGGCATCATAACTTTTTCTGATTGGTTGTTATGTTTCTATGCTGCTGGAGTTTTCAGTAAAGAAAGATATGCAAATATTCGCCTCCTGTCATTACTAAAATTAAGATTATTAGTACACTAAAGCTAATATAATCTTCAATTTCATATTCTTTGGGAAGCAGAATTTTAACGTATATATGCCACGGGCATTTGTAAACAGCTTTTTTTTGAGTATGCATACTGTGGGAATATATAAGGAAACATGAGGACATCTGGGACATGAGAATTTCCAATGATGATTCTTAATAGCCAACAATGGCACTGGATTCTGGCTTAGTCTTTGCATGCAAGATTGCCATGATAAATGCACGATTACTGTGTAACTGCTGGTAGATGTTTCAGGACAACCTGCTACGGTCTCAACTCACTTGGACCACTGTAGTTGCAAAGAAGCATGAAGTATTAAGTTCTGAGAAACCTTCTAGATACAATGTTACGTTTATCAAGCAGAGATAAAACGGCCAATAGTTAACAAGAATGAATGGAAGCTGAAATGGAATTCAACAATATGGAAGAACTTTTCTAAAACGAGTAGATGGGACAGAGAGAACTAACAGGCACACAAGGAAAAGAACAGCCATTGAAGGGTAGGGTGAATACTTGGTAATGGCAGAGGGCTAGAAACGGATATGGAAGCTGGACAGAGTAGGAAAAAAATGAGAGTGTGGAAACAAGCAAAAACCGATCAAAGGTAGTCAGCGCAAAGAAGAAGGGGCCACTGGATAAAGATGGAGGTTTGTGAGGCAGGAATTGAAGGAGCACAAATACAAACGGGGACGCATAAAGGAAAACTGACAATTTTAATTTTTTTTTATTGCTTAAAATAAAATTACATGTAGCTTCTGTATGTACAATTCCACAATGCATTAGTTTAAGTAAATATGTATTTTCAGGGTATCTTGTGGTTTAGTCTTGTTCTACGAAGGCAGCCATTTGTAAGTCATCTTTGGTTAGAAGGACAGCTTCCCTGACCAAAAACCAAGGAGTCCAGAGCTAGTGTGACATCACAAATCAAACAAATATAGGCTGCGCAAAATGTTCCTATGTGCACAAACAAAGTGCTACCAAAATTTATTTGAGGACAGAATAATAAACAAACGTTTCAGGTACAACCCTTTCTCAATGCACCATGTCCCTCTAGTGTGACCTCACATACAATCAATGGGTATTTCAAAAATGCACTACAAGACAGGTTATAGTCTCCAAATTGCGCATTGGCTTATTGACTGAGAATTCTGACCAAAGAGGACTAACTAGGCCTCTCCCCTTCCCTACGCTCAATACAAACAGTAAACCAAGAGATACAATAAAACATAATTAACAGAATAACAACATAATATGTATTGATTACACAACAAGGCTAAATTACATGTAATCTAATTTTTGGTAATCGAATAGGATTACAGTTTTCATAGAAGAAAAAAAATGGCAAAGATAAAAAAAAAAAAAACAGTATACAGAAAACTGGAATAAAAAAAAAATGAAGAAATAAATACGACCTAAAAACTGTGAAACTGGTCATTTTTCTTTATTTTATTTTTCTTGCAGAAAATTATCCACCTGTGCTCAGAAAGGTTCACCACCATTGGAATAAGCTCATCTATACAGAAGTCAAAATTAAATAAAAATAAAAACAGAAAGGTCAAACCAGCCCCTGAAGAGGAGACTGCCCAAATCTATCAGCCAACTAATGAAATCATCGAAGATTAGACCAAAAACAAATTCAGACTAATGACTAAACGGTTATTGGCATTACAATGGCTGCTTGGTTCTAGCCCTAATATCTGTGTATTTCACAATTATTACAAAGAAAAAAAAAGTATGTTACTTCAGAGTTCAAGCAAGAATGAGATTATGTAAGAAAATAAAAAACTGTGATAATGCAGATAAACAAAATGAGGATATTGAGAAGAAATATATAATTGTAAAAGGATGAATTCAGAAAGAAAAAAAAATTAAAAATGAGAGAACACCAAATTTAGAAAATAAAATTAAGTCTCGGTTAGGAGTGGGCAACAGTACTCCAGATGTTGTAGACTACATCTCCCCCTGATGTTTTGCCAGCATTAGGGCTACAAGAGCATCAGAGATTTAGTACACAAAATGGAGTGCAGAACATTGCCTACACCTCACCACCGTGGTTCAAGATCTTCCTTTCTAAGATCCCTCAATGGCAAGTCTCGAGAAATTACCTACAACTTCTTTACTGATTTTTTCTGACGTCCACCAACACAATGAACCCTTGTTGGAGAGGTCTCCCATAAAGGGAGGTTGTTACATTTGTGACGGCGTTGCTCATTATGGTATTTTGGACAAACGTTTAATCTAGGATTCTGAAAAGTCATGAACGGATAACCCATACTATATCACTTCTACCGTTCTTCAATGGGTTTCCACAATACTTCCGTCACACTGCATGGTGAAGACCATTTGCCAACGTGATGCAGCTAAAAACTTAATACCACTTATTGCTAATTTCGGATTCATTAGTCATTGGTTTAGAGAAATAAGGAAATACATACTATACAGAAGATGATTCTCTCACTCACTGATTGCCTAAGCACAAAGCTACATAACTTGGTTGATGACGTGAATTTCATTTACACCTCCCCCTACATATACGCTAGGCAGCTGTGCAGGATTCCAATTGGAATTATAATACTTCCAATCACACACTACAGTAACCGTATCAATCAGAGCCTTGCTTTTATGACAGCATTTCTATTTTAAAGGGTTCATAGATAGAGTATACACAAATGGAAAAAGTAGAGAAAAGGGCACAAAGTTGACTTATAACAATAAATGTTAAAAATTCATAGACCTTGCACTCACACTGTGGAATGGTGAGGTGGAGATAGTATTCAATATTCTTTCAAATTCTGAATTTATTGATGTAAATTGCAGACTTGTGATACAGATTTTTTTTTGTGTACAGTATTCAATGCACGCATTTTAAATCCTATACGGACTTTAGGAGGTAACACCACGGTGTTCAAACGGACTTGAACTGAAATGTTCTTGACTCACGCTATACTGGAATGTAACATTCATTTGATACTTTGGCGTAATATAATATAACATAAATCAACATTCACTCTGGCAGGCATCTGGACCGTTTCTACGGCAACCGCATACAATAGTTATTTGTCAAACTCCATTCCTGAGGAGACGCTGGTATTCTCAGATGATCCGTGATGTACAATCTTGACAGTTTGATTAACTTATTTATATATTAGCAACATATTCCACAGCGATGTACAACAGGTAAATGAAACCTAAAATTACAAGCAAACCAAAATTTCAGGAGGACCCATCGTCCCCTGTTTCTCGTGCATGCCAAATCAGTTTACAGTTCAAAGGAAACCTTAAAAGGTAGTTTATCCATAGGAAAGAACAAGTGTATACTTTATTGTTAATGTAGTAAACATTATGTGATATATGTAGTGGTACAGTGGAACAAAGTCAAACACAGCAAGATAGATGATGAAAAGTTATATTGACAAGAATTAAAGAGACACCGTTCTCATGTTAAAAAACCCCAAAAACCAAAGGAATCTGTCAATTAGAAAACCTGATCGACAAACTTTTACGCCAGGTAGGTATATACATAGTACCTCACTGTGTCAGTTAAAAGTTATACACAAAGAGCAACTCACAGCACCATCAATGTATTAAAATATAGTGGTTTTAACCCCTTAAGGACCCATGACATGTGTGACATGTCATGATTCCCTTATATTCCAGAAGTTTGGTCCTTAAGGGGTTAATGCATTGATAGTGTCTCCTTTGTATGACAATGTCAAACATTGCAGTTTCTCAAACGCAATGTTAACATTTTGTCGAATACTCTCTAGTGTCTGCCATTGTAAAGATAGGTTAAGAAAATTAATAGGTTGTTTATTTAAATTCCGTTTGGCTAGTAAAACCTTCAGACTCATTTCCAGATTTCAAAATTATAGCTCCTCAGAGTTTCAGGTCTGAATTGGAATACATTCCTTGACGCATTTTAAGGAACCATGTAGGCACCATAACTTAATTGATATTAAGTTGTTATGGTGCCCAGAGGTGGGATTAAACCAGATCTTTCCAGCACCAGATCTCCCTGTCCCCGGTGGCATCAGTTTTCTCCAAAGCAGTTTGAGGAAGCAAGGAGTGGTGCCGTCAAGGGTGCCGATGACTAGCTTAGTACGGACCCTTTCTATGAATGAAAAACTGATTGGCTGATAACATCAGCTGATGGCTCTAAGACAATCGGCTTCCTTAAACTGCAGGAGGCAGGGAGATCCGGCACTGGAGAGCAAACTTTCGGATTAAACCATTCATTAACGCTTTAACTCTTTTGGTTGAGAAAGCGCCTGTGGCACAATAACAAGTTGACTTTAATAATGTTGTTATAATACATGGAGTCTTCCTTTAAGTGCAATCATGTGGTTATTAGCCCTACTATTCTACTCACCCTGCCACCTAGCCAGGTACAACCAGAGCTTTAGCACCAAATCTCTGACCACTAGAGAGACCTCTCCCTCTTATCATTGCAGAACGGATTCATCACTTTGCCAACCAGATTTATTCAAACAGTCACACAGAAACACTAATTGGACAGAGACAATAAGTACAGAAAGAAAAAAAGTCAATTATAAAATTCCCACTCGTACAATGACAAGTTTAATTTCTGTGCTCGAAATGTTTTATTTCTTTGGATCATTAAGCTGGAATTCAGCTTATATTCCTGCAGCCAGAGTTTAAAAAAATAAAATAAATAATTTGCTGCAGGATCCACTCACTGAAGTGGAAATTGAGAGGGTAAACACAAGCGTTGCAAATACAGGGTGGGCCAAAATTCAGATTAGTGTTTGAGGGGTCAATAACTTTTTTTTTATTAATGAATCAATTTCAATGATGTGCCATACAACGAATGCTTAACATATGGAGATTTTTTGACTATGCACAGAAGATGACATCTTTTAAATGATCTTCATTTGCCGCCTCGCAAAGTCAAGCTCATGCGATTGCATGGTTCATAACATTATTTAAAGGACCACTATAGGCACCCAGACCACTTCAGCTTAATGAAGTGGTCTAGGTGCCAGGTCCAGCCAGGATTAACCCTTTTTTCTATAAACATAGCAGTTTCAGAGAAACTGCTATGTTTATATTAGGGTTAATCCAGCCTCTAGTGGCTGTTTCATTGACAGCCGCTGGAGGCGCTTCTGCGCTTCTCACTGTGATTTTCACAGTGAGAAGACGCCAGCGGCCATAGGAAAGCATTGTGAATGCTGTCCTATGAGACTAGCTGAATGCGCGCATGCGCATTCAGCCGAGGAGAAGAGGCGGAGAGGAGGAGGAGGAGAGCTACCCGACCCGGCACTGGAGAAAGAGTTAAGTTTAACCCCTTCCTCCCCCCAGAGCCCGGTGGGAGGGGGACCCTGAGGGTGGGGGCACCCTCAGGGTACTATAGTGCCTGAAAAAAAAAAAAGTGTATGTTTTCCTGGCACTATAGTGGCCCTTTAATGTTTGAGAATCCAGCGTTCGAATTTGTCCATGCATACTCTACTTGAGCTGCCTACGTGTACGCAGTTTTGTCACATACAACCGCTCCTTCAGATATCCCCACAGGATAGAACTAAAAAGTAGGGCAAACATGGCGGACGATTAATCTGGGAATTTCTTGAATTATTCACTTGCCCCAACAGTTGTCTCAGGACGTTCATTGAGACTCTGGCTGTATGGGCAGTATCCCCATCCTGATGAAAATACATGGAAGATTTTCCAATACAGGACGCTCTTTGCGTCAAAATAATGGACCTGCCATTTTAAAAATAAAATTCCACTATTTTTACGCATTGGTTTCTTTGTAAAATTACCCATGATGAATCTCCCAAGACCATTATAATATGTACCTGCAACAAAAAAATTGAACTACTAAAAAGTACCCATCAAATCTAACCCTGAATTTTGGCCCACCCTGTATAAGGGCATAGTTAGAGACCCTTTCCAATTTGGCTACAATTTGCCATTCCATTGTCAATTCCCACAGTTATCAGTTCATGCATAGGATATTTCATCTTACAGCCTACAGACCACCAGTGAATGCGGATTTAAAACAATATCTGCAGTATATGAACTATAGGGAGTATGCATAGCATTCCAGAACTGCTCCACCTGTGCCAATAGAAAAAAAAAAAAGTGTTGCAATAAACCAATAGAAACTACACTCCATCGACATAAGCAAAAGGTTGCTTGACTACACCATGGGCCAGCACAAACAGCAATAAATACCAGTAACAGAGAAGTGGTCCAAGCACGCCAATAGCTACAGGAACATTTATTAGAATCAAGGGAATAAAGCAACATTTCCACCAAGAATTTGGTCTTTGTAGAGTTTGACAAAGACCCAATTCTAGGTCGAAACGTTGCAGTGTTCTCTCGATTCTAATAAATGTGCCCGAATCTATTGGGGTGCCAGAACCTTTTCTCTGTTACTAGCCAATAGGAAAGGCATCTTCTTGTACGCTGAACAGATAATGGAATTTCTATAAAATTGAAGATCTGTGATGGATCCCATGCTATCCCGAGATGTTCCCACTGGCACCTGATTTATAGGCTTGAGCAGGAGTACTTAAATGAACGGGGAGGGTTTGCTATGAGTAGAAGAGCGGTAGGTGGTCGGCTCAGGAGAGAGAGCTTCAAGTTAGTATATATCTATCCCACCAGAGACCACCATGCAATGGACATTCCAAAAAACGCAGACCCTTAAAAAGTCACATGACCACTTTAGTTTCCAAAATGACATTTTTATATACAAGCACACATTTGCTAGCACAAAGTATAAATCAAATAGTTCCATCTTGAAAGGGCCACAGATTTATTTCTGCATAAATTGCTCTTTAGAAAAACATGAAAATGCTATAAATAATTTGTAAAGCCGGTCACAGAATTCAAAAGTTCAAACCCATTAAAGCAGATATGATAATTATTCCCAATTTCAACCAAAACTGCGTAAAGGTTCAAGCAGTTCGCTTGTTCTTAGAAGTTAAGTGAACTCCTGCAGTCGTGCCCTTGCATTTGTAATCTGCTATTTCTCGATGTAACAAGAACCTTGCTTTAGGGCACAATCCCAAAATGCACCACTTTGGAGAAGCTGTTTTGGATCTTGTGCCGAAAGAGGGAGACTTTGATACAAAACAAGTTTAAAGTAGAGGCCAAACACAAAGTTTTGTATTTTTAAAAAATACATTTGTTGTTTGTTTTTGTTTTTTTAAATAACTTGACCTCTAGTATTTTGTTTCACTTAACTAAAATTGAAAAACCATAAAACAGTGAAGTACACAACTACAAAACAATTACAGATAAAGAGAAAAAAAAAAAAGCATGAAAAGGGATAATAACTGTAAAACAATATAATAAATATGTAACTGATAAAAACCAAAAACAAAGGGCAAACAAAGAAAAAAAGTCTAAACACTGGTAATTGTGCACAATGTTGGCACAGCATACGACCCAACTGCTTATTGCTATGCAGCATTTGCAATTCCACATTTAGGAATATTAAAAGAACACTGTAGCATTAGGAATACAAATATGTATTCCTAACATAAGTGCCAGTTTTGCCGCAGTGGTCCAGCGTCCACTGGCTGATATCAATCATGATGATCTCAGCCAATCCAATGCTTCTCCACGTGGAAAACATCGGGAGGCTAGTGTGCATGTGCAGCAATTGCTGCGCTGTGACCAATCAACTTCCCGTCATCTGAGGTGCTCAGCCAATGAATGGAATCAAACCATGGAAAAAAAATGGATATTGCGAAAGCGTGATGTAAATTCTTCAATAGCAATATACCAAGCAGGGGAAGGCCATGGTCACAAAACGTGTGACATAAAACTAGAGGACAGCGACTAATTGTATGGCTGCTGTCCTAGGAGCCAATATTAGACATAGTTCTTTCATTACTCCAACAAGCACATGTCAAGTTTTTAATCTCATGATCGGGTTCATATAATGAATCATAAACAACAGGAGGAGATGTGAGGTACTTACTAAGCGCATGTATTCATTAGGTTTATTTTCAAATTATATGAAAACATTTGAAAAAGTCAATTTTTGATTCTTTGTCCATTCATTTTTAAGGTGTAGTCGACCATCATAGCCATAATACCAAGAATGAAGAATCAAGGCACTATGACCACTTTAAATCACTGAAGTGAGCATGGTGCTTGGAGTAATGTCTTTAAAGAAAACCTACGTTTTCTAAGTTTTACTCAGTCTGGAAGAGGAAATGCCTCCAATGGCTATCGGGAAGACATCCAACAAAAGTGTGTTAAAGGGACAACTCCCACTACTCTTAACCCTGCAAGTGTAATTGTTGCAGTTTTTTTTTTTTTTGCAGGGTTAACTCCACCTCTAGTGGCTGTCTATTAGACAGCCACTAGAGGACACTTCCTGGTTTCTAGCACAGGAAACCTGTGCTAGAGCATCGCTGGACGTCATCACGCTGTGTGAGGACCTCCAGCGTCGCTCAATTCCCCATAGGAAAGCACTGAAAGCATTTTCATCCCTTCAGCAACCGGGGATTGGTGGGTGGGAGGGAGAGGGGACCTGCAGTGCCAGGAAAACGGATTGTTTTCCTGGCACTGGAGTTTCCCTTTAACCCTTAAAAATAAATAAATAAACACTCCAATGTTTTACATTGCATGTTTAAAATTTACAGGACAGTTGCACACAGACCACTTCATTGAAATTAAGTTGTCTAGGGGACTATAATGTTCCTTTAAGTCAGACTATTACTGTAACATTGCCATAGACAATATGAGGTTATTATTTGCACATCTAAAATGTAAACAAAGCTAAATGCACGTGTGTATTGTAGAAAGTACAGCAGGAAAGAAAATACAGCATTTGTGTTAAGCAGGATAAGCTTAATAAAGGATTCTAGGGTATTATCAAATAAAAAGCTTCTATTATACATTATTTAGAAGGTAAATCTAGGCACTACAGACACAACATGACCATGTGCCTGATGCACAGCCATAGAAAGGACACTGCAACCTTTACTGGCACACAAAAGGTTTATCACCCCGCTAATCTAAGGGTTCTATTTAATAAATGTGACATTTATTGCCAGCAGGCCTGCTAAACTTGATCTCGTTTGTTCTCCCGTCACTGGCGTTCTCCCACTGCGCAGTTTTCCCTTTGCGGACAGTGGTGTGTCTAAAGGTTACCGCCTGCCGAGCTAATTAATTACGGCTGCTGCCGTTATTGGACACACAGACAGAGGAGAGAGTCATGATAAAATTACCCCTTATTACAGACAAAAGGCATGTTATGGAAGAGGAGACGAAAGAACGTCAACTACATACAGCGAAATGTGTTGTATTTATGTCAGGGACATGAAGGTCAGTCTTCAAGGGACAGGTTCCTTACCGAAACCAACGACATGTCTCCTTGTTCAGGTATGTGTGTCTCAGTAAGCAACATGCTTATTTTTATACAAGTGTCTGTTCCTCAAAAAATTGACAGCTGAGATTTAAAGGCCAGAGTAATATTAAAGTCACCAGCGAGTCCATAACACGTGGGTCATTTGAGATCAACCCAAAAAGTGACATGTACAAGTGACGGCTACTAGCGAAGCTACACGTCTAACACTTCTTAGCTTAGCTCATCATGAGTACACAAGTGACATGTTCTCTTCTGTAGATTATCAACAAATGCTGACCTCAGGCTATACGGCATTGTAATACAGGAAAGTCTGTCGGGACACTGTGTGCACACGCCTGACCGGTTCTCTCGCTCTGAGACAGCCATAAACACACAGTGACATGTTTATACTATGGCACCTTGGGTCAGATTCTCTGCATGTTCTTAAAAGCTATATAATACCCCACCCCCCACCCACACCTTCATTTAATAATCCATTTCTGAATGCTTTTGACTTCGAGGGACTGCAGATAAATCACAGCTGGTTATTCCGTGAGGATTTTTAAATTACTACTATTATTTTTAAAATCGCAAAAATTATAGGGCATTACTTTGTAAAATGCAGAAAGTCTGCAGTCTTCAGTTTGTCCAATGCAAACCCGAAGTTTAATATTTTCTTATAAAGATCTCCATATAAAAAGAAGCCAAGAGCTGAAAACTCTCGGCTAATTAATACAGTTTGTACCCAATGGGTTCTGACTTTACAATGTGGAAGGGTAAACTTTCACTTCATCAGAACAACTCAGACTGGACGATGGGTGTCTGACATTTATTCGTACTTAAAGGTACACCAAAGTGTTAGGAATACAGCTTTGTATTCCTAACGCTACAGCGTTCCTCCTGCCGTCCCCCCAAATTAAAGTGTTAAAAACCCTTTAAAACACTCAGCGCTGGCCGCGTTTTCCACTAAGCCAGCGCTGAGGAAGACTGAGCATGTGGAACGAGCGCCACGCGTGCATTCGGCCTTCCCCATTGGAAAATGCAGAGTTGAAGCTTTCCTGGGATATATTTGGAGAAACTAGATGTCTTCATGCACAGCGTGAGGACGCCCAGCTTTGTTTTACTAAACTGTAATGTTTTAGACTTCAAGATTGAGGGGACAGTGACAGAGCATTTAGAACTCTTTAATGACATGAAGTGGTCTGGGTGCCTATAGCATCCCTTTAAAGTTTGAAGTCCTATGCTA